TCGAACCACGGACCTCCCGGTCAGCGCTTTAACCACTGAGACATCTCGCCGGAAGAGCGCTCCCGTTTTATGTTAACAGCTGGTTTCGTCCCTCCTGCTGTTCCTAGGGTGGCCTAGTTTTGCACCTTAGTTCGATTTCGTTTGCTCTTCTTGTTCGATATTTGCCTGGGAAGTTGCATGCTCCTTCGATCCAAGTGGTTAGAGCGCGAATTTACTGACCGGAAGGTCCGTGGTTCGAACCCGACCTCTGCCTCTCGACTCCTACTGTCTAGGCTTGGGCAGCCTGGCAGTATCCCAGCCCTCGTGCAGCCTTCGGGTGGCATGGCAGCTAGGCACTGAAAGGGTGCTACAGCTGAACGATTTCGACTATGCTCCTTCAGCTGTTCGATTATTTACAGCTTCGAATAAAAAAAACAACTGAATTTTTCTCGAGGTTATGGTGAAAATTGAACGCCTGTATACTCTCTACGCCTCCATTGGTTTCGTCATTACAATTCGAAATACTTGCTAATACCGGAAGTTCAATAAAGCGGCCGCCTTGCCTCGTTTTTTCGCTTCTTGCAGGGCATTCCAACTTCCTTTCGCACTGTAAACTTTCTGTGGTATTCGCACAGCCTGGGGTTACTGATAGTAATCAAATTTTGAGTCACTTCGGCCTATTTACTGTTTATCAGCATTAAATGTACACTTCCAGTGTAATCGGTCATTCGTCTGTTGCCCCATTTTTCCATCTATCGACCGTGCTGCGTCTGATTTGTTTGCCCACATCTCTTACCAGCACTCCTATCCCAAATCTATGTGCATATTTCTCTTCCGTCCAATTTATTTACAGGGTGTGCGAGATTTGTTTACTCGTGTCGCATCATCGATCGGATCGATCAGTTTGTCGGAATATGTGAATGAAAAATCAGCTGATAGTGGAGCCACGCCACTGATTGAGGCGGCCAAGACAGGGTCAAATGATATTGTTCGGGTAAGTAAATGTGGTTACTTGCATCCCTTATTCGGTCCAGCCTGTTCACTCGTTAGCCCGTTCTCCAAGCGTTCGATTCTTTTTTTGCGACTACTTGTTTTCGCTTTGTTTTCGCGTGTTCATGGGTGAGCTGAGCACGACTATCATTTCAACCAAAGCACCCAAAATTTACTTCGAAACTGGACTGCTCCCCTTGTAGGAGACCCCTAAGCAAGTATTACTTCTAAGAATAACGTACTGACTGAATCGGTCTGTCTTAACTGAAGAGAATCGGTCAAACTACAGCATGTAATTTATGAAGGAACAATAACATGAACGCGTGTGTTTTTGTTCCGGATCACACTCCTTTGATCGGTACCAGATAAGACGAGTCAAATGAATGCCTATCACTTGAGCTTCTATGTCGCCACTCTTGTATACTAAATAGGTGTGTTACTGGGTGGCCGTTTGAGGCGTCGGGCGTTCCTCTCACATCACTCAGGTGCGAAGGTGTTCACCTGTTCAGACGTAAAAATTCGGATGGGTTCAGCGTGGAGTAGTAGTAACACTCTCGTCTTGCATAGAAAAATTTGAAAGATTGTTCAGCTGTAATACCCTTTCAGTGACTAGCTGTCATGCCACTCGAGAGAAGCAGGAGGGCTGGGATACTGCCAGGTTGCCCAAGCCCAGACAGGGGAGGTCGGGTTCAAATGATCGGTCCTCCGGTCAGTAAATTCGCACCTTGCATATCAAACCCCACTACAACCAAGGATATTCACTTCTGATGACCTTCAATAAGAGCGAAACTCCAGTCCAGTGCTTCCCCTTTTGGTGCGGACTCACCAGAATGATTGTTCAAGTGAGAGTCATGTAAGTGTATATTCCACACATCCGGCAACCACCAACAAATAAAAAGCAGTTATTCACCTTTCATTCAGCTGTAATACTGTTTGACTGGTGTCATTTAATAGCACCCACTTTTATTTTTCTCCGCTTTCGTTTAACTGTGAACATTAATCTTAGGACTTATGTTTATTTGGTTTATGAACGGTTTTGGTTCTTGTGCACAGAACTTTTGAACGATTATGTCGCACAATTACAGGGTTTTGGAACGCTATACAGACCACCGATTCTGAGCCCCACTCGCCATCACTGTTGATAGCATTTGCTAGTAATAAATACTGATGCCTACAGGCCATGAGGATAAAATACAGTAATAAAGTTTGAAAAAAGGGAGGAGTTGCTGAAAAACTCTGTATTCTTCGGGAAATCGATCAGGAACAGGGTGTCTACACCTTGGAACAACAAGGAGCACTATTTCGGAGTGAGACCCGATCAGTGTGGTTGGCCTAACGTCATTGGTGAACCTCATCCAACAGCAGCCCAACTTTGATTAAGCAGTCCGGATCGAAAATGACGGCATGAATGCCACCGGGATCGGTTAATGTCTCTAACCACTTTCAACAAGTCTCATCGGGATCCCAGTCAAACTCAAGCTCAGTCAGACTCAAACTTCCTACAATACCCAGGCTGACTGTAGTCGCTTCCATTGCGCGCGACCATGTCATGGCTAATCCGCCTCGGATTTTTCGCCAGCATGAGCTCGGGAGGAGAAATCGCTTCTTCCGTGATACACGGTGGTTGAACATGCGTAGTACATTCCCCAACCACTTTGGCCTGACAATTTTTTAATCGCTGATAATCGTCATATAAGGTGTTCAAGAGATTTGTCAGCACTACTCTGGTATCACATTTTTGATCGTGATCGACATTCCTTGATGAGTTGTGCTCTCGATATGGACAGGTAATATTTCAGTCGGGTCTGATGAAGTGCAATGAGTTGATCTCCACCTTGATTCTAATTTGCACACTCAATGTTTTACTCCATCCTCCCCTTCTAATTATCAATTCACGGTTCATCGATTGTGGAAGGAAGTGAAATGAAATATTATTCAGATAATACATAATACTTCAATAATACTTATTCTTGAAAACCAAATGACAGTAGATCACAATGCGTGTTGGATCGCCAGAAGGTTCCGTGGAACAGCCACTAGTTATAATTCTGTCGCGTTTCGGTTAATTTGACTGGCAAAAGTAGTCTAAAGTAGGCTAAAGTAGTCTTACTCTACCTTGCAATCACCATCATCTTTCACATAGATTTGTCACTCTGCATATATGTAGCCCATGAATAATCACACCAAATATGTGAATCTCTTTGGCTGAATGTGGGTACTTATCCTGCTGATGTTTCATCCGTCTCCCAGCTATTGTTAGAGCACGGAGCTTTGGTCAATCTGCGCGACTGCGGCGGTTTCACCGCATTGCACCGAGCCTGTCAAAAAAGCTTCGCCCATGTTGCCGAAACTTTACTCAGATTAGGCCGTGCCAATCCTCAGATAAAATGCCCGTTTTCTGGTAACACAGCCTTACACGAGGCTGCGATGCTTGGCCACGCAGACTGTGTCAACTGTCTACTGAGATTTCATGCCGCTCCTTGGGGCCGCAATGCTGAGGCTGAAATGCCGTTTGAACTGGCTCTGCGGTACGGCTTCGCGGATTTGGCCGCGGCGCTTGCCGGCTATAAACCCACACCACCCTTGACTACTCAGGTATGTTCGCCCGTTTTCCGTGCTTCTAAATAAACGGGTTGTAACGAACTATCTTTCCTATTTGCATTCATTCTTTCCCGTATGTTTGGGATGGATTTGACTGAGAGGAGACATGCAAAATATCGCTTGTCCTATCTAGTCACACTTTCTCTGTGGTTATCCTCTGCTCATGTTTTTCCGCTATATTCGCCAGTTTCGTTTTCGTTTCTTTAGCGTTTCTTGTGTGGGCTGGCTTCGTTGTTTCATATACCGTGCTGGGACATTAATTCCATAACTTGCATTTGCTGGGAAGGGAGTATAACTATTTCATAGTCTTACATAGCTAAGAGGTTGTTTGCTGCAATTCATTTGAACCTTTGCGTTAGGGAAATATAATGTGCTCACCTACCGGACATCCTCCGGTTAACGGTGCTGCGGAATATTCCTACATCTAGTGATGTCATCGTTATTCTGCTCGTGATGTCCCTCGAGCAGTCACAAAACCTCTACAAATTGATTGCTACGTTTTTGCAGACATTACAACAACTGGTTTTCTCACTAAATGGGACTACAATAATCTTCTACCTGATTATCAGTACACTTTTGTCGCACTGGTACAACCTCGCCTTTATGTTGCCTTTTGCAGGCCGACTGGTATCATCCAAATCTGTCCAAAGCAGACACTGATCGAGTCTTTACCAACTCAGGCGCGACCAAGGACGGTGCATTTCTCATTCGACGTTCCTCACAGTCTGAACGCAAATTCGTCCTGGTTCTCTACTACCAACGACAGACACTCAAATATCAGATCGAAGTGGTCGACTTCTCATTTCATATGGACACGAAAGAAGCGTACTTCATTGACAAGGTAAAACGATTTGCCATTATTTGTTTATCCCTTTGTTCCTATGCTTGTTACTGCTACAAACCAGCGTATGTACATCATTCTAGATCATAAGTGTGGATAACAGCTGTCTCCTTAGTTTCCTCCTTACCTCCAGCGACTTGACGAACCCTGCGTAGCTGAATAAGTGTAATATAAGGGACAAGCCGCATGCCGAGAATTGTCAACAAAAAACAACACGTTAAATTGCTCCGCAGTGGTGGAACTGTAGCGTTCTATGGAAAGTCCTTTTGTGTTCGTTAATCTCGCCATCTCATTCAATAGCTTCTAGTAGTTTTTTTTTCGAAAGTTTGTGCCTGAACAAAGATAGAACACAGTGTCCCATTATTATACGGGCTGGATGCCTGTGTTCATAGGTGTCATCTCTGAAGCCACTGTCGTCACTCCGTTCTTGATCATTGCAATTTTTGCAATAACGGTAATATCTAAGCCCAGCTCTTGCTCTGATTCTCCGAAGTTAGTGATGTCAGCAACGGAACCACCAAGGGTGTGCGCAGTGTAGTGCATGCCCAAAAACAGATAAAAAAAATCCATCTACAGTATCTCGTGTTCAAAGGTGTCATCTCTGGACCCACTGTCGTCAGTCGGTTCTTGGTGACCGCAATTTTCGTAATAACGGTAACATCCAAGCTCAGCTCTCGCTCTGACTCGCCGAGGCTAGTGATGTCAGTAGCTGAACCACCTAGGGTATGTGTGGTGTAGTAAATGCCCCAAAAACAGGTGAAAAAATCCATACACATTATCTCGTGTTTGATGTATATGCTGCGTCAACATTCTAGAGATTCAGACGTGGACGGCCCATTGGCGGCCGGTATTCAGCGGATACTGGAATATGATTGGCTGCTGTTTCCCAATTTTCAACCAATCAGGGCTCATCTAGATGTTGAACCGGCAAGCGACCCGATCTTCCCACCAATCGAGTGCAACTTAGGCCTTTTGCCCGTAACCGCGTTTAATTACGAGCGATAAGGTGGTTTTAGTGTGCGGTTCCGCCTGTCTGCTCCTCGACAACGCACACACTGTTTTGCATTGTTCTTCACTTATGGTGGTTTTCTGGGTCGATAAGTTCACTCTCATAGCCACTGTCTGTCAAGTTGGTGAACGTGTCTCTTTCTACCTTATTTTTCCAGGGCCCGTTGCACTTATCACTGGAACACCTTGTTGAACACTATAGTCGGTTTGCTGATGGCATCCCGGTGCGATTGCACTACGCCGTGTCTCCATCTGGCATGGTGCTGAATATTGAACAACTTGTCCCACCCGGACTGGAGAAGCGTGGACGGGAGTTGAAAAAGTGCGAACCATCTACCGGGGGAACAGAGGCTTGGGCACTGAGAACTATCACAACGGGGCCACATGGTGGTCATATGGGAGCGCCGCTTGCGCTGCCCAGTGTACGCTCCGGGAATCCGAAGCAAAATCGCAGCAAGGTTAGCAGGTTACCACTTAACTTGTTAGCAGACTTTGAACCCTGCACCACTCAATTAGTAGTTGCTTACCGTTTTTCCACGTTTTTTCACCCGCACAGAATGGTAAAAATCTAAGTACTGGTTCGGGAATGTCTAACGCTTCTGTTTGCGCGGGCGGCCTTCTGCCTGCCACAGCCGGTTTACACCTGACCTCCTCAGGAAGTTCGTGCGCCAGCACTGGTGAACTACGCCTTGTTCCAAGCGACGCGGTCATCCTCTTGTACCGGTTAGGTGAAGGGGAATTCGGTGAGGTTTATCGGGGTCAATTGCACTTGGATAATGGAACCACTCAGGAGGTTGCAGTGAAAGTGAGTCTTTGAAGTCGGCAGTTTACTGTGCATCTCTTCAACAAAAGTCTTGAGTTTTCTTTATCCATTTGAATAAAGTAGCGGCAGAATTTCCCCATTTGGAGCAGTAATTCGGTCCACTTGCCTCACCGGAAAGGACAATCATGCGTTAGTATAGTGCAACTTTAAAACCTACTGAATAAATACGACCTAAATGATGCAACTACTGGAAACGGTTAGTGACCTCTGTTAGTAAATCTGTATAGCTCAGATTGTCAACTGAGTGCCGTATGGTCAAGAGGCGTCTTGCAGTTTCTGAATGCCCGACTAGGCACCTAATGATCCTTTTCTCAGTTCGTGCATCACACACTTTGAAAAGTGTTCGTCTATCATATGCTAGGGATGTAATTCTGTTCTGCCAATGCAAGTGTCACCACACTTGCAGGTAAACTGATAGATTAGATGGACAACAGAGTGATTTCGTTTTCTGGACCGTTTAGCCTAGAGTGCGCTGCTTTAGGCCTCATGAAGGTCCATAAGTGTCCCGCTATCAAGAGAAAGTTCTGTAGATGGTGTGAAATGCCTTCAGTTTCACACGATATGGACACCTTGAGTCGGGGACCCTGCGTTTCGAATCAGCTTTCGTGGAAAACACCTGGACATTTTAAAATACAAGCAGTAGAAAACACCGTCTAAATTATTCTGTTCAGGAGCTCATTGTTACTTCTTCATTACTCTCAACTGTCGGATGGCCGCGATTTAAAATGGTAATAAATAATCGTTCAGCTGTAACACCCTTTCGGTGTCTAGCTGCCATGCCACCCGAAGGAAGCATGAGGGCTAGGATACTGCCAGGTTGTTCAAGCCTAGACAGGGGAAGTTCAGAGGCAGAGTTCATGTTCGAACCACAGACCTTCAGGTCAGTAAATCTGGGCTCTAATTACTTAACTATCTTGCTCCCTGTCGCAATTCGCGTCTCCACCTAATGCTCTTTTACTTGTGGCCACTAGAGCAACCTATACTGGCTTCATGACAGGATAGTTTTGTAGACTTTTACAAGGACATTCTCATGTTACTTCGCAGTTCGCGTCTCCGTCTAATGCTCTTTTATTTGTGGCCGCTAGAGCAACCTATACTAGCTGTATGACACGATAGTTTTGTGGACTTTTACAAGGACATTCTCATGTTACTTAAAGTAGTATCAGTATTGTTGTGCTGCTCTTCTGTCTCCCCTGATGAATACAGGTCATCCGGCTTACAAAAGCAGTTTATTCCAGTTCATTTACTTTGGTCATCGGCTATCGACTTTTAGTCGTCCCTGAAAGTCCATCGATTAGTGTCACCAACCCAAACACACTGGCCAACTCACGTGGACAGTCTTCGTGTTTGCACACTACTCTAACTCCCATGGATGGTAGTCCATCATTTATTTATGGTGGAAATCCAAAAAAAGAATAAATCTGACCTCTCTTCAAGAAGGGGCCGCACGCTATGGTGTAGATGATGGGAAACTAACTTTGAAGCGAGTTGCTTCTTAAGTTGAGTATCGGTGAGGTGAATTTTTTTCCAGGGACTTCTCTTCGTAGAGGACCGTGGTTCTAAACTGTGATGTTCTGACGAAAATCGAGAGTTATTGCAAATCAGCTGCTTTGACTTGACTTTATTTTCCCGTTCATAATCACATAAACTGAAGTAGGGTAGCTAGGAAAATTGACTGAAATAATATCATCTTCTTTCATGAGTACCCCATGTTTGTTCGTTGTAGTCCGTTATCGGGGATATGTTTCATTGGGTTTTTTGTGCATGATATACCCACTGTTGGTTCTATTTTATCAATATGGCGTTGCCTATCTGTTGTTTTGTTCCGATATTACATCTGAAAGTTATTCTGTCACGTGACGAGCTACTCAAATTCATTCCGGACTTGTTAACTTGAGGAAACACACTTCAATGCTATATTTTTAAACACCTATTGGTCCGATACAATGAACCCTCTGTTCGTCCGTCCATCCGTAAAACTTGCACTTCTGCTATCTACCAGGTCCTTGTCCAGCCATCTCAACGCCTCGATTTTCTGAAAGAAGCCACAATCATGATGCAGCTTTCACACCCACACATCGTCACCATCTATGGAGTGTGCGAAAACAAGCGTCTGATGATGATTTTGGAACTGGCTGAATTGGGCAGTCTTCTGGACTATCTGCTCGACTACCCCGAACGATGTCAGCTACCCGAGCTGTACAACTGGGCTATGCAGGTAATTTGAACTTTCAGCTTCAGCTATGTCTCCCCCTATCTCATTAAATGCCTAGGGTTTTTTTTTCGATTGGCCGTACTTTAGCCACACGGTCCTTTATCTAGTTTACTCGTCTGGCAGGAAATTGTGTATCGGGAAATTATCACCTCTTGAGAGGAGGGACTAACTTAAACGTCGATGTTCGCTTAATACGAATGCTGGTGGCTGATTTTTCGCCGAATTCCAGTTTTTCCTGCTCCAGGTGTCCTGCACTGTTTGTCTTTATTTATGAAAAATGCGTGTGCCATTGAACTATGGTTCGATCCCTTTTCGGTGCGTACTTTCTGCCGGCTGGATCGTAACGAATGCAGGAAGAAGTTGGTAGACAAACACTCGCAAAGCAATTTGGTTTTAGCTCAGCTGAATCCCGGCTGAATTCCTCCTGTATAATATTGTTCAATCTGACGAACCCCCAAGAAATCCGTTGCGTCGAACAGTTTTTAACAACCTAATGAGTAGTGTTTCTTTAAGAAGAGTTAATTTTACTTTTTGTTCCTCAGGCCTAAAATCAAGTTACTCAAGGGGTTCACACTGCTCACCAACGACCGTGGTAAATAGGAGTCAGGGGTGGGGATGATCAGTTGTTTGTTTGTGACCATGTGGGGAAGTTCAGGGGGCTCGAGTTGGCACATTGGTTAAGGCGCCAGCTTACGAACCGGAACGTTCGTGATTCAAACCCAACCTCAGCACCTCGACTGCTCCTATGTACGGGATTGGGAAACTTGGCAATATCTCACCTTTCGTACCTCCTTTCGTTGGCAGTGCAGCTAGGTACTGAAAGGGTGCCACAGATGAACGAGAGGAGCCCCGTATCGATTGTGTCTGTGAGCACGATCCTTGACTACAAAGGGTGATCCGCATTGTCTCATCAACCGCCAATGATCGGGTTCCAAGCGGTGCTGACCCTTCAAAAGGGTCGTTTGACATGTTGTTATGCATTCACTTCGCATTCCGAATCAACGAGGTTTTCAGTGCCTGTCCTAGGTCTTTTCCCTTCTCCTTCCCAATGTTCCTCATTTGGTTTTTTACTCCACTATATATCTCTATCGCAACATTTCACGCGTATTTCAGATTCTTTCACCTTAGTAAATGAGATCACTCATAAATGGTGGTTATATGGGAGCTTAAGCCACTTTTTCTACTCTTGTTTCTACTTTGTTTTGAAAGTACCGTAAGAACAAACCTTAATAACAGAAATGATCTTACCCACTTTGAAGGCGTTCCTCACTTTGTTCCGAAACGCGTAAATAAATGGTTGATGGGGCGCAAGTCATGTCATTTTGGCTTCTAAGTTGCTTCGTTTCTTTGCCTAACCTTTGCATGGCCGCACCGACACAAAGTGAAACAACGCGCCTATGACTGGCTCTGCCACTTTAGGCGTTGCGACAAATTTCTAACGCAGATTTTCCTGGTTTTGTCATTGGCTATCCAGTTTGTCCAAAAAGGTAGGTGACGCAAGAATAAAGCTATCAGAGTACAGTGAGATTGATACGACAGCAAGGAGCACTAAACACAGTTGTGTGCGGCTCACAGCTGATTGTGTTTGTCACAGACCGTTGATGACAGTCACGATATGTTCTTGTGCCTTCAAACCCCGGTTGCGATATCCTAAGGATTCCGCCGTTTATAGCCTGATGTCATCATTGTGAACTTCAATTACACATCCCGGACAAGGGTGGGACTAAAGCTACCCAGCCTCTGTGAAACGAGGACTAAAGTTAAATTTTCCCATAGTTATTCCATGAGACAGTTACCGTAGCGATAGTATGAAAAGCTTACCTGTTCGTCACACTCGATCAAGTACTGCAAGTATGGCCTAACGTAAAACAACAACCAGCAAGTGATATCCTCAAATCTGGGGCGTGCACTTCACCAGAACACTCTGAAATTCACTTCTATTGGCTTGCTCAGTTCAGTCTATCTATTATTCAGACTGAAGTATGTAAGGCAGGGCTTGTTGACTAGTCGGCATCGTTAGAGCAACAGATAAAGTTTGACAGGTTAGGCTAGTTAGTGCGTGTGCCACTCATTCTCAGACATTGTCTACCAAAGAAATTTTTTTCACTCTACATCAGCATGGACGAAAGATTTTCGATAGGCGGGCCTAGATACCAGCCTGGGCGTGGTGGAACCTTCACGTCCTATGTGACTCTCCTTGCACGTAGTATATGACACGTGTCTCATTGACGGGCTTGCTCATCTATGGTCTTTGTCCGCGTTATACGCTGGGCTCATGTTGGCAAAAGATTTTGTGTCAGTCCCGCGGATGGCGTCCCACTCCAGTACGATACCCAGATATGTTCACTAGGATGACAGCAGACGACTAGTCCAAGTTCCACGAGTTGGCTGTTCGCCGTTTTCTCAACCATAAGTCGCTTTCAGAAGGCCATGTGTTCGCTTCGGATCTCAATGTAAAAACGCGTCATTTGGATGTAACTAGACTGCCCAATTACTGATATCTTCTGCAGTTCTCTGGAACACTTTCAGTCCCTCGCAATAACACTCACTCTTAGTTTTAGCTACTCGGTTGTAAAGTTCATGAAGTCGCATCCAGCTATCAGTTATTAGCACTTGAAGTGCCTCAGAGTGAATCATGCGGAATCGACGAATGATGTCAACTTCGACCATCAATCGATTTCCCCATACATTGCATCACGTCACATATCTGTAACCCACCTGCTTGAATTTCATAGATAGACTGGTTTATACGACTAATACGGTTTTCCCCGGCTTGGGCAACTTGGCGGTATCTCAGCTCTCGTACTTCCTTTGGATGGCATGGCAGTTAGGCACGGAAATGGTGTTACAGCTGAACGATGTTTTTACTATTTGTCTATCTTCATTGTGAGCTTCTGTTGCAAGCAGTTCAAGTCACACTCATTCATTGGACAAACGTTTATTGGACCTTTGATCAAATAGCTAGTGTTGTGTGCTCACTCAGACGGAATATAAAAGGCAGTGGGATAAGCAGTGTTGAAGTAATTATCCATGAATATGATACTGTATTCTGTCAGGCTACCGAACTTGCGTGCTTTACTTTCAAGGTCAGCAATAATGGCGGTGTTGATAGGCTACGTGCTGCTCAAAAATATGATTGTCGTCGTGGGCTGTCGACGGATTTTCAGCAACCTTATGAGTAGTACACTACAAAGATAAATATGATTGTGCTTCTGGTGTGTTCTTTTGGTGTTCCCCACTGCAAGCCCCTGATTTAGGTTATCGCTTTGCCTCTGTTCGCCATTGTGGTGGTATACTTCATCTGTCGTGCAAGACGTTCGATAAACCAATCGCATCACTCAAGGGTAAACACGTTTGTCTGTGGAGACGCGATAATGCAAGTCTGTCTAGCATGATTAGGTTTCGGTAACGCGTCCAACTCGCATATCAAATTTTGGGAGCTCAAGCTTCCGATGAACTCTAATAATAGCGAAACTTGAGTCCAGTTTTTTCCACTTTGGTGTGGAATTGCCTGAATTACTGTGTCGAACAGGAGGAATGTTCAACCGAGAGTAATAGGAATGCAGATCGCACAAACAGCAGTTCCTGTTACGTATGTGTTTCAAGGGAGTCGATCGTTTTATTGAATTTGTAAATATCCCGCCTCAGCCTGATTTTCCAGAATGGGAAGCTTATAATGGTCCTAGAATTGACCAGCTTTGTACAGACTAAGCACATTGCTGGTTAACCCTAGCTAGTCATGTGTGTGACAATTATGGGTGATACTGACCACTCTTTGCGCACACACTGTTTAGTTGTCTCCACATTGTTTCGGCAAATATGGGTCATTAGTGGGCGTTATAAATGGCCCCTTCTATTCAATCCCAGGTGTTTTTTTCTCGCCTTTACATCGGATATAGACAGGGACCTTCAGTTGGTTTTATGGGCTGCACAACGCAAAGCACATGTGCGGAAGTCTGTCGGCATAGGTCCGGAAGCGGATACCAGCAAGCCATGTGTCCGGGATGACAATAGTTCGTGCTATTTTGGCGGCAATGGTCGGGTTAAGATTATCTCTAGGCCATCAGCTACAATGAACCTAGTCAATTGTTAGGGGTTACTTAATTTGTCTGGGGCTACGAAACATTCCTCTCTTGGGCGACTGACGAGTCCCGTCGGCGCTGCACGTGTTGAACAAAATGTAACTGCTACAGTATCCTTTCAGGTATGAGACAAAATGCTCATCTTGGGTTTCCTTTTTCCCTGCTTGGGATTGTGCAGCCTATCCTTGATGTCTGCTGAATGCTGCCTTTCAGTCTGTCTAAAAGTTGATCCAAAGCAGTAACTAAAGTAGCCATATCCAATGTTCGCAACGTATCAAACAAATTCACTCAACTCAGTCGACTTTCCCGTCAACCCTCATGTAGCAACCGTTTGATGATTAGGCACAATCAATGGCGTTTGCGTCGGATACTATCTGTACGCCACCGAAAGTGAAAATGTGGCGAGGTGTACTAGTTTCTGCCTGGCTGTGTTTTCTTATCAACGTGCGGTGTTTCTATTTAACTACCGCTTCACCAATCGCTTTGTTTTACTTCCCATCCAGATTGCCAGTGGAATGAGCTATCTTGAGTCTTCAGGGTTCGTCCACCGCGATCTTGCCTGCCGAAATGTCCTCCTTTCAAATCAGTCCTGTGCAAAAATATCCGACTTTGGACTCTCACGAGCCGTCGGTGTTGAATCAGATTACTACAAAGCAACACAACGGGGCAAATGGCCCGTCAAATGGTACGCACCTGAGTCAATATACTACAAGACTTTCAGTCATGCCAGCGATGTGTGGTCCTTTGGTATTTGTCTATGGGAAATGTTCTCTCTCGGTGAGCATCCCTACGCGGACCAGGATAGTTTTGAGGTATTGCGTCAAATCGAAGAGGGAGTACGTCTCCCGCGACCACGTCTGGCGACGGATGAAGTGTTTGCGGTGATGCACGACTGTTGGGCCTACAATCCTGATGCCAGACCCACATTTAGCCAATTACTGATAATCTTCCAACATTTGGCCACGAATGTATATGAAAATGTTGAGCCACCAGAGGTTGGGGCATTAAACTTGAATGGGGCTCGCAAAACAATCGCAGTAAATGGTGTTGTGCCCCCTTCATCGTCTACTGCCGCCAGCGGGATGAACATGGCGGATGTGCGCGGAGCTCCGGGCTCCACCCGTCTAACATCCGCCGATGTGGCTCACACTAATGGCACCTGATACGCCTGGCATCATTAGCTCCAAAGTTCCACGACATAGGCTCGCCTACTACCTCCATGAAATCATCTGCATCTGGAGCACTTTCCAAGACTCTTTCTGCACGATCCCGAAGCAATTATGTTTTCATTTTTAATCACTGTGTATCGTTCACCTTGTATTTTGCGCAACTGTAGAGTTTTTCTTTCGCATGTACATTCATCCAGAACCTTTTGTTTCAATCTTTCCGCTCACGTGACTCCAGTCCAGTCTGGGTGTACTTTCCTTCTGGTCTGGGGACGATTTCATGGCATTTGTCTCAATCAATGCTTTTGTGTACAATCATCATTATTTCGACTATTTTCAGTGAGTTCATGTCTGGGACAATGTACTCATTTTCCAATGCATTTGATTTTCAAACGACTGACTAATCAAGAAATTTCGAATTTCCGGAAGGACGGTCTCATCTCCACGTTTGGATTTCTGATCTCTTTTTTTCGTTTTCTCTGAATCTATTCCCTTATTTTGTGACCAATTGACTCGATGGTTTACCAGTGGTCTTGTAACTCTACCGTTTACTTATACGGTTAGTTCGAACCGTCTTTGGTTAATATGGCGGTGTGCTTAAAGCGAAGTTTTGATTCGCTCTTGTGATATAGTCAAGTGGCTTAAATCCGTACTCCTCTGTAGAGATCATCTGAAGGGTCTGGCCAGAAATGGTCGTCTTTTGGAGGGAGATGAGAAAACGAAAAAGTGTATTGATCGTGGTGTTGATTGTGGATCCGTCTCCCTGGACAGCTGATACTTTTTAGTCGCCAGTTCCTTGATTTTTCCCTGCAAGCCGCTCCATTTTCTCCTTGTGTTAGTTTATTCTATGGTTTCTCTTTTATTGACCATCGCATCATCGACTTCGTCTGGCTAGTCTGAGATGCCCTCAGTTCACAGCGGGCCATATTAAGAATAGATCTCTTAGGATGTCTGTCAAATGATGCTACAGGCTTTTACGGTGAAGCTGTGGTCGGATTCCGAAGGGTTCAGCCACACTAGGTGCTTCTTCAGTGGGTAAACCTCGATGTGTTCTGTACTAGATGAAAGTCCTTGCCCTATTGAACTGACCGAGACCAATGTACAAACATCCACGTATCAAATATGGATCGGTGTTTAGTTAGATAACTCTTTCGCGTCATGCCCTTACAGACATTACCTGTCAGTTATCCATGGGCTCTCAGTTTGAAGTCCTTCTTGAACTGGAACGAAATCTACCCCGTTTCGAAGCACACGCTTATTTTAGCACAAGCAGTAATAAGTGACTTCGCTAAACTATTACGTGGTGTGTACAGCAACTTTCGTCGTAGAGCTACAGATGTGTTTGTTGTTGGGCGCTTGGCCAAATCTCAAACAGCGCTGATTCATTTCGGACGATCGGTTTAAATTGCAATAAGACATTCAGTAATCCTCAGTGCGACCGGAATGATATGGATATTTGATTCGGACGGCAATATATGTTTACCACACACGCGACTGCACAGTGGACAAAGTAATCCACGAAGGAGGACGAGACAATTTGGTTCATTGTATCCGTGAACAGTGTTCGGAACTTTCAGTAACACCTAAACACCGGATCTTTCGTCAAACAAGCGTAGTTGATCAATTTTGGTCTCTTCTCGGGGGAGGGGTGTCCAATATTGCACTCGACGACTGGTTTATCATCTCAGCCAGACTGCACTTCCTCTAGGATTCTAGAACTCAACAGAAGCTCCAAGGGACTAGCCAGAAATGGTTACTTCAGACAATACATCTGTATATACATAGGAGCATTTGAAATGAAACCACTGTGTGCATGATACGTTTAGGACTGGAACTAGAAACCACTATCGACAAATACACTCATTTGCAAATCAATCTGGTTTTCACAGAAGACTCAACTGAATTTCTCGTTTATTATTCTTCAACTGAATTTGCTGCACAAAGGCGCCTCATGTTTCAGTTGGTGTGGTATTCGAGAGAATACCCACACGGTTACTGTAAACTCTTCGACAATCGACGACCGGTTTCGCCCTTCTTGGGGCTCATCAGGTTCTACTTGAACCCAAATTGGACTGGTGACAAATAAACTTATTTGCAAATCAATTTGCTTTTCACGGGCAATCGTTTCTCAGCTTGGACTACACTTTGGTTGCATGTTGTCTTTCTTAAAAACGATAACTGCGTTGCTGAGGCTCCTCGGAAACAATAAAAGATGCTCGAAGCACAGCTTAATCCCCACTTCTTCACTGGTTAAGCCATTGGACACGTCACTCGCTTCTGTCCGAATGGCATTCTCAGCGGACAAGTCATTCCTCAAACAGTGGGTCTACTTAACTACTCGGGGTTTATGTGATATCCGTCACCACGCAAGTTGGTTCAGCCAAGATCTTTAGTTCGTGCTCTCCCCCACAGACTACCAGTTACTCGAAACCAAAGCGACCGGAGTGAAAACCATTCAATGTCAACACTATAAAGAACGGCGGATACGTAAATTGGAAAAGTTACTCTCTAAAACTCAGTCTTCTATTGAGGCCATGACCAAGTCTGAGCCACCTACTAGCTACTGTAGCGCAGTAACTTCATCAAACAGACCGCTAAATGAGGAAGAGCGTACTTCGTTAGAGAATGGCTTGAATTTTGGAGTAAGCAAAAGGGTGATAAGGGCGGGACGTTTTATCCCCAGCGTTGAATCTGTTTCAAAGACTTACACCAATGGAGGCGGAGAAGCTACGGGTACAGCTGGTCACAGCCTTTAAGTTCCAGCAGCTCTAAATATTACGCCAACAGGACGGGGAGCATCAAACACCCCCAAACAGGTGGACAAAATAGTGATCACAAAGGCGGATAAGAGCGAGGCTACTGTGAAGATGAAAAAGAGTGCTTATCTACAGAGGCTCAAGCAACACCTAGCTGAAGATCCTTACCGGCGGATCAACATCCATAAAGAATAGGAGTAAAGCTGAAATTGGCAGTTACTGCAGTCCACGATAAACCACTTAAGGCAAGGAAACTGGTATCGATTGTGCCCAAAAGTGCAATCCACCTACTTCTTTACAGCATACCAAAAATCCATAAACCAGGTGTCCCATTGGGATCGATAGTAGGGAGAGTAGGTTCCGCACCCGATGGGTTGGCTAGATTCTTGTAAGTTTCGATGTCAACCCTTTATATACAAATGTGTCAAAAGGGGAAATCTCCAGAAATAACCAAGCGAATGCTACTAGCAGGCACCACCCTTCCAGAGCAGACACAGCTTTTACATTATAGAAATAGTGGAAGGTATAAAAGCATGTCTGAATTTCATTCTCTTCGCTTTTGAATCCGTAGATTACACTCAAGAAGAAGGTCTGTAAATTGGGTCTCCAATATCCCCGGTTTTGGCAAACAATTTTACGGAAGATTTTGAACAGAAACCTTTAACCAGAACTCCCATACCCACGGAAGATGTTCTGTATCTGTGTAGACTACTCTTTTGCCTTAATAAAACAAGACAAGACCATTCAATTTCACAACTAAATGAATGACCTGAATCCAAACATCAACTTCAGCATGGAGCTAGAGCCAACTTCGGGTACACTGCACTGCATAACACAAAGCCGAAGGGAACTAAAATCACAATGTATGAGAAGCCAACTGACACTGGCGATTGTGAACAACTCATATGCCTATCCGAAGTCGGCATCCGCTAGTATTGCCTCATCAATGTTTAGGCGTGTAAGGGTCCTGTGCACAGAAGAAGTTGATCGGACAGCGGTCCAAACTGAAGTAAAGAACAAACAAACTAGTTTGCTTACGAAGGGTGCTCATACCGGTGGCGAAACCCAATCGAGAATGGCATGGGACCGCTGTTATTCCATGTAAACCAGGGAAACGGAAAGTCATTCGAGGGATTCTTAATACGGCCAACATGATAGTAGCTTCCCAGAAGAGAACACTGCGTTCTACATTGGTGCCATTAAAAGATTGTCTCCTGGTGAACAAAACCAGGGATTGTGTCCACAAAAATAAGTGCAACAACTGCACTAAGGTCTATACAGAAGAGACGGTTAGGGAATAGAAGGCGTAGAACTGGCAAGCGTCTGGAGAACGGTGTTAGATCAGTCGATCTGGCAGGCGGCGGTGTGCGATGTTCAGAAAGAAGAGTCATCAACAGAAGTAGCTTAGATCTGAAGTGTACTTAATGTTACTCAACCCCCCCCCCCCACCACAACATAATTGTCATAGCACTCACAGAGCAACGAAATTCACCAGTGGCACCTGTGGTGAACACCGTGAAGTGGAAGACCGATGAAGCAAACGCGATCAAAAGTAATTTCAAATTCCCCCAACCCATCAACCGTAAGATTTAGGCAAGCACACTGGCCGACAGGTCCCTTTAATTGACATTCTACCATGAAACAGTATGCTAATGTGAGGAGGTCTTGCTGATCGGTTCTCGGTCTGCCCTAAAATCTGGCCAACTTGGTGACCTGCAAGCTTGTCATGATGAAGCTTTTGTGTCAAAGGCGAAACATCACCCAGTTAAAAAACTACTGGCTGTTTACCAAGCCCTTCTGAAATGGAAACAACCTTATGCACTGCTCATAAGGTTGCTGAAAATTCTTCGACAGCCCACGACCCGCCCTTCTTAGAGCTCATCAGGTAGGCGCAGCCTTCAAGGTTCCGTCAAACTTAAGTCCTACTTGAATTCAAATCGCATGAAATTAGCCTTATTTTTTACCCTTTCGACAAACCGTTGGGCCCATCGAACACAACTCTATCGATATGCTCCTTGGACCGTCCTTGGATTGAAGGATGAATCTCCTAATTGGATATCACATTAGGCAATAGGAATTCGTAGCCTGCTACCCTTCTCATTTGATGGTGGACTCACCAAATGTCAAGCACGTTTTCAGAAAGAGGGTAATACCTAGGTTGGGTATAAGCCCGATGTGGGAAAAAGTGCTGAGCAAGCTGACAAGTGTAGACTACTGCCTACCTGCGGTGAATTAGTGGTGAATGGAGCATTGAACTGTATGCTGAAAAGGCTGGTGCGTTTCTGAATGCCGGTCATCCGTAAGACATAGCAGAAAACACTGGCGTAAATGGATTGGCCCAGCTAAAAAGATTTCAGTGGCACCTGGTGTGCAGGTCCCACAAAGTAACTTTTCTCCATGGGACCGACCCTGAATGTGATTCTGGGGAAGTACCATCCGTTTGTGGTATGCTGGAAACCACGTTGGAAGGTACATCTTCAAAGAATCCGAATAACTGTTCACAGAACTTTCTCGGCTAGTATTGGACGTTTCTCCATGGGACCGACTTCGAATGTGATGCTTGGGAAGTAGCATCCGTTTGTGGTATGCTGGAAGCCACTTTGGAAGGTACATCTTTAAAGAAGCCAAATAGCTGTTCACAGAACTTTCTCGGCTAGTATTGTTGCTTTGCGTGTACGTAAATTTGGACCTCGGATGCTTCCACCCACACCGGAATGCCACCTACGCTTTCCACCGTCTACGGGCTTCGGTAAACAGATTTTCTGTTGATTCTCCCCGTTTATCCATCGTGTGTCACACAGATCAGCCTTCACCTATCACGAACTGTGACGCTGTTGAAGCGCATCCTTATTCAGGCCTTGCCCAGCAACCATTAGTTGCAATAAACAACAAGATCATACGATGTCACAGCTACAGCCACCTGAAAGTGTCATCTGCGGGAAACTATAACACGAAATATGCTATCCCTATTATGAGTGTAATATCCACAGTTCGACACAGAGCCTCACCAAGTTTTGACTTAGGCTTAACCTCATCTTCGGTTACCAGCATTCGTGGAGATTCCCTTCTGTAATTGAAGTCAATCTATGCTGAAAAGCCGAAAAGCGCCGTACAGCTGTGTCATCCTTATTGGGAACCATCAACAGTGTGCATCTCACGAAACTCCGGAGAGTCTCGAACCCGCGACCTCCTCCTGGCTTGTAGTTTGAACGCTTTACCGTTCGGTCACAGGCGGTGTGATTCGCTCGCACTCAGGCAGGATATAGTGCCGTTCATCCTTCAGTCACGGGATCCACATCACGCGGTCACACGTGTTGACTAGCTCCTCGAGCAACGACTTCTTATATGGAAGTTTCACCCATCGGAAGAAAGCTCTATTCTTTCGCTGTGCTACTTACATATTGTTCGTAGTGTGAGGAGATTCGGGGGTTTTCGTGGATATTTCGACCTGTAAGTGAAGCCAGTGTATGCTGAAAAATCGAGGAACACTGCACAGCTGAATAAGCTAGCATTCGTTCACCAGCATTTGTTTGACATGTTGCGTAGAGGGTGGAACTTAATTTGGCTCATTTGTTCAAAGACCCCGGGAAGTTTGGAGACTCAAAGTCCTGGACAAATATTGCTACGCATCCTCGGACAATTGCTGTATTCTTTCAACTCACTGGTCCTGTGTCAGAGGTAAACCTGCTGGAAAGTTCCGGCGTAATTTTACTCCACCCAGTCACTGTTTATGACGCAAGATTAGTGAAAGAAAATCAGGATATCGTCTTCATCCGTTATATCTGGATGTCTCCGGTTCCTCGTGATGCTCTGTGACTGAACAAGTTTGTTCTGTTGATGAAAAAAATTTAAAGGACTTGAACAATCTGGTTGATTTCTGGTCGTCTCAGTTCTTATCAACTGAAGTGATGGCACAACTTTCATGGTTCATTAGCTTACTTTCGTCCGTATTCAATGATGAATGCTGCTTTCCGACTAGGAGAAGTTCTTTGACTGTCTTGATTGGCACACGACATCAGGTTTTTTGGAGTTCAGAGGCTTGTATGTCTTTCGAAACCATATTCGTGTATGACGGCCAAAGTAGATCGATCGAATACTGAGCCTTAGTTGAAAGTGCTATGAGATGGTATATTGGGTTCACGATATTATTCCTCAACATGAGGTCGATGCCGCTGACCCCAAAATGCCTTCGGTTATAGTAATATAGTTCTACGATGTCTGGAAATCACAGAATCGTCAGTTTTACTGCCGATTAGGATGCTTTGAACAATGCAACGTGTCGAGAAAAAAATCAAATGGACTATGAAAAAACCTAGTTCTTCGTGTCGTAGATATCAAATGGACGGAGTCATGGTTACCAGAAATCAATTTTTGACAAACATCTATTCAGCTACGGCGTTCTGGTTGCCTTGTCAAGATCCACATGACTACCGCCACACTCATGTCTAGGCAGCGTGAGTTGAAGTCACACATTCTCAAAAGTAGCTCACGTGATTTCACTCTTGCAACACCTTGAATATTCGAACCATTCAATCATATTTGAATCTCCAATCCCGCCACAACAGTTTTTGTTCGGACAACTGCAATCCGCTTCAACAAGTTCAGGTTTTTTAGTCCAGAATACAATGCTACTAGGTGGAGAAAACGAAGCAGTCCTACTTAGACCACAAATCAGACGGCGGATTTCATACAGGGTGTCTCATGATAGACTTTCTCCCTTTGCCAGGACAATTCAATACAGATTCAGTGGACTCAAATTTCGCAATCACGCGTGTAATGGTCGACACGGAGAAAGGATCTTTGATGAGACCATGTTTGGTTTTGTAACCACGAAGTGCAGCAGTGGCGCTTTCACTAAGGTAATAATAGAGTTTCACTATTTCAGTGCGCGTACTGACATCCATGGTAGAGAGAAAAAATGCCAACACCTGCACACAAAACTTCCTTTATGTCGTCCTCCTTTCTCTGGTTGGCTACGTTTACTCACCCAAACAAATTTTGCGTCTATTATGAGACAGCCTGTAGAATGACCTACGCAGACTAGTGTCAAGGTGAACAAAAGACGACTGCGGCGAATGGCTAGCCTTGATGAAATGTCGACCTTCAGTTCACTCATCAGATGAAGTTAGTTAATTCCTTTAAGGAGAACTCCTCGCTATTAGTGTTTCTCAGACACGAGTCATGTACCCTCCGGGCCCGAAATCGGACACCCCTAAGACAGGCCGAAAAATACTCTTCTTCACAGTGTCGTGTCTACAGAAGGAACGCTACTTATATGTGATTCGTTAGGAGCCTCTCTATCTTCTCTCCGAATTCCGTATTATCTGAACTTATCAATGAAATGTTGACTGAATTGAAGAGGACGATCAACTTAAAGCCTAATCACAGCCAGGCTATTCGTCTGGACATTCTGAAACAAAGTATCGCTGAAATTTTCACTCCTGTGAATTTTTCATTCTCATTTTGTTTTTTGCAATAGCTCATTCCCGTTGTGGTTTTTGGTACAATGCATTTTCCTCTATTTAGGCTTAAAACGCCCCAATAACTTTCAAAGGCATCTGATGCAGAGTGGATGCAACCAGGTCACTGAGGAAATGCCATGTGGCACCCATACTACGATTCGTGTCCATCTGACGTTCTCGATGAACGGCACACGTGAGGTGTCAAGTCTTCCTTAACTACGAGAAGTCCCGAAATCCTAACACAACAAGGAAAACCCACTATGGTAGTGTTTGCTCAGGACAGCGAACCCATCGATCAGAAAGCTGTACTCTGAGTTCTCCAGTTGACTGAAAGAGCTTAGATGCCATCCATATGGAGAGCGTTATGTGTGGCGGAGGTCCGGTGGAACCCAAACAGACCCGTGGATTCGAAGAACCCAGAATTGGGGTTTTCATACGGCTGCAACACAGTTGCAAAAGACATCTGCGTCTGGACGCTAGGAATAGTCAGCTGTCTGGTTTTCCAAATTCAACTTCACTGCTGTAAGGAGCATGTAACAAAGTGAAAATGTTATTTTTTAATAACGGTGACTGTCCCTGATACATTGGTGATTTCCACTCAAGAAGACCTACAAACTTGCTACAAACCGCTCCAGGTCTCTCTTTATAAACTGTGGGCGAGGAGAGCAGTCGCTTATTACATTGTGTGGACTTCTTTGTCTCACCGCGCTGTTCCCCAAACCGGTGACTGAAAAAATCACACGAAAAGCAGACACCAGCAGTCTGCTGTGCTAACGGAAACCGCCGACAGTACTGCTCAGGACAGAATAAATTGGCCAGAACGGAATAAAGTCACGCAGGTGAGGACCCGTCTGGAAATTTCCTGGAGTTTACAGGTGAGTCACACACATGCACGCGCGACAAGCAAGCTGAAGAAACGGTCAGAAAAAAAACAAACTTAAATGAAAAAGGCATATTACGGAGTGCAAGCATTTCGGCCATGCGAGTTAACAAATATCGGGAAGGTCAGATTCCTGAATGTAACCTCAGAACGCCCGAAACCTACTGTTCCACCAAAATCTCAACAGGGAAGCCGGCGAGCATCAGACAGCCTATCAGACGCCTATCAGACAGCCTGGATCAATGTCAGAAAGTCCCTTTTTTAAAACAGCGTGGGGTCGTTGTAACTTTTGCTCTCGCACGCACTCACGCTCTCGCACTCGCCTGTTCGGGATATAGCGGTTGTGTTCCCTTCTGAGTCTTTTTTCCACTAGGATCTGCAGCGGGTCAGCAGCAAATACCACAGATTGACGAATCAGCAGATATTACAACAAACTATATTGTGAAGTGGAAAAATCAGGGTTGGTGTACGAAAACATACTTGTGTCAGGCAAGTATTTGGTCTTAGCAGTTGATCAGGTGCTCGTACAGACCATCAACCAAGCTATTGGTCACGCTCGGCGGACGTATTAACAGCCATCCGATCGGCTACCAAGCCACCAATATTCTGGTACACTTCCAGTTTTTGTATATTATGACATAACCCGTACAAAGCGACCAGACTGCATGCCTCTTCCAACTAACCTAAGTTATTGTGTAAAGGCCGCTAATCACAAGAGCAACTTGTTTAGACTACTGGTTTGTAGACTTTTATGCACATTGACTCCATGACTATTTATGCGCAAAGCGATCATCCAATCATTTACTGTGCGATGCGTAAACAATAGAATCCGGACGGTAAAATGAAACAATTCATCGGATAGTGTTTCAAAATGATACATATTATCACCTCTTAGACAAGCGACTCTTTTCAGGCATGGTCTGATATGTAGGCCGTTCGGATGTAGACAACTCTCTCAACGGGTTTACTGTCTCCATTGAAAGTACCAGCCCTCAAACGACGGGCTGATTACTGCCGGTTGTTTCGAATGAGCTACAATCCGTACTTCAACGGTTCCCAGTAAGATTATGAGGAACCAGAAGCGCTTCAGAGTGAAGTCACAGACGTACGAGAACAGAGTAGTGCCGGGCTGAACAAGGTAATGCATAAACTGGGAATTTTTTTCAAAGAGCAACCAGCTTGGTGATCAGTACACAGCCAGCCAAGTGAGGAATTGATGGCATATCCGGATAGTGAAACAGGAAAGTGTTAATATTACGTGAAAGGCACCTAATGTGGACAGAACAGACAATATGCAGTCACTGACGATGAGGTTGTAAAACTAGTCAGCTGTTATCGATCAGTCGCCAATGAAATGGGATAATGTATCCACTGATACAAGACGTTTACTCGACAAAACGGTATTTTAATATCACAGGTGCATCAACTTACACCATCTCTGTTTGTTCACAAGAGCTGAAGAGTAGACTGCACCTGTCCAACGCGGTAAGCGAAGATGCCTGTTGGACGATATTTCGCACGAATTAGCCATAACAACTTTCTGAATAATGTGGACAGAGTAGCTTAGATAAGCATTTCGTTCGCTGACCCTCTCTCCTGTTCAGCCCTGTCCCATCAACCCGTTGACCAACGAGTGGGAGAATTATTGGCCTATTAACTGTGATCCCTGTAGTAGATGTTTACGTCCAGCTTTCGTTATACTAGGGAATCTTAGATGAATTGATTGGTTCGAAGGTGCAGTGAGTCACTGATAGCGTCTGCAAGTGTCCTTCCTGACATATGTTCTAAGAATGTTCGGTCTTAAATTATGATGAAACAATAAGCAGCTCAAAGGAAGGATGATCTCATTCGATGTGTGAAACTTCCTCCTGATAGTCATCGCTGGAAGAGCTAGTCACGTGATGTGTCTTTGTGGGATGATTGGCGCTTTATCCTATGTGAGAGCCAATCACCATCCCAATCAGCCACCGGTGTTCAAATACTGTCTGAAAGGTCGCACATTCGAAACTCGCTGAGTTTCGTTAGCTGTGCACCGCTGATGATTCTCAACAAGGATAAAACAGCTGTACAGTGATTCTCAGCTTTTCAGCATAGACTAGCCTCACTGACATGATGGGGTCTCTACTGAACCTCCCAATAATCTGTCCTCCCCATTCTTCCCCCGAATATCATCAAACAAACAGAAACGATTAATACTGTATTCATAGGTACACATATTTATCGGATATGTAATTTCACTTCCGAGTTTGCCTTCCTCAGATGCCGCGAATACTTGAACGGCCAATAAAACATGCTGCGAAAGAGATATTTATGGGCCTCTTCATTATAATTTTTATCATCACAGATTTAAATTACAAAGCACTAATAATTGATTCTGACCAGGTGGCTTAGCTAATGTCGATCTAACCCTTGTCACAGATCCTTTCTGGTTTCGGTGTCTTTCTCATGGACTAAATTTGACGCTGCCGTCCTTTTAGAGGACAATATAAGCACTGTCACTTCGTTCTTCAACGGTGATGTTCCTTTTCAGGAAGCTAGGGCTGGAAGCAAAATGTCAGCAGGTCAGACACCGAAAGTTGACTTCTTGTCATACAAATCGAGGAGCAGTGGACATACGGATGACTCCTGTTGTCCTTTGAATCAAACCGTTGAGTCACAAATCAGTTATGACGAATCAGACCGAACGAAAGAATCATGCAGATGGCTGATACGAAAGCATCTGAAGACTGCAACCGGTGGTGAACCGCTAGATGTTTCGACTTTATTTGCGACGTTGGCAGTGAGCAGAAAGTATGCTTAACATCTTGGTGACAAACACGCTTTCCTTCGATTACACACACACCAAATTTACTAGCCTAATCGGGAACGGTGCTAAAAGTCACCTTGTAAGTTCACACATACTTAATCAACGCCGATAACCAAAACGTCAGCTAATGGATTAACCCACAGAGTCGTTGTTCTTGTGTGGGGAAATGAACCGGTCGAAACGCGTTCTGTCCACAATTTCGTTCGATTCCTTCTGTTTTACTTCGAAAAGTAGGCATAGCAGCGGGACGGAATGCGCTAGCAAGGAAATCTGAGTTCAGACAGGCATTGATTGTAGAATTCTGCACAAGAATGCTGCAGTAATTCCCGCCCGTTTTCACCACAGGTGTGACTTCACGAAGAAAACAAAGTACTCTCACCCATAACAAGTCACATCCACGACAGGATGAAATGTGCACGACAGTTGTCACACCATGAGTGGAAAGATGTGATATCCAGGAACGTGGGGTTCAGTCCGGACCGTCTAGCTGGAGTGAGGTGTTAGTGGTCTGAAGGAATCTATAGGCCTTCAGTAATTGAAGCTAGTTATTTAGGTGAAAAGTTTTTACGGCGGGTGGTAAACGAACGACAGTGGTATGCGTTAACACTCTTTACTGTAATTCGTAAACATCAACCAACCTGAGCTCTAATATTCCAACATGACAAAGCTTCAATTCGTTTGGTTGCATCTGTAAAAACCTATGATTGTCGTTTTACGACATACAGTAGAAACTCTCCAACAGAACCAACTTTTCAGGAAAGTCTACGCATGCATTCCCATGAACGTTTCAGTAGGTTTTTTTGTCGCTTGAATGGCCAGCCTCAGTTTCATAGACAGCCACGAATGTTTGTCCCGCGGAGAGAATTTACACTTACTGGAAGACAAGGAGCCCAAAACTTTATAGGATAACTACAGCAACACGTTTGTAGGGAGGCATACGGCAATTTTGAACGATAAATTGGTGAGCAAATGAATCGTTGTCAGTACACTTAGCTTGTCTTAGTCTATTCATACTTGCCAGCGTGAATAGTTGTTATATTGTGTGGGCTGTGACCATGGCAACTAAGAAGCTTGTACTATTTTTGAATTCAGAGTGCTAGAATGGCTCCTGCGGTAGATAACAGGTTTTGTCTCTATCCCCGCGACATGCTGTTCCCTCCAAAGGCGAAGAGCATGATATTGTTAAAGTGAACTCAGAATCAATTTAGCCAAAGACTGAAATTGACTCTCGAATATCAAGCACTTCTGGGAAGATTCGCAAGAGTTCAAATCAGTGATTAACGCATCGGCGAATGGGGACACAGGACAACGGAACAACCAATGGGACCGCTCGACCGAACAACTAATCGCGATCAAAGGTCACCCCCTGCTAGCAGCACGTATATTAACACACGCGTAACACTACTCAACGCACAATCACTAAGCCACCACTACGCTCCCCAATAACGCACTTATGATGTCACCTCGATTGGTTGTGAAACTTCCAATCAAATTGCCCAGCTCAGCGGACAAGCCAACGACCATAGCTAATCATGTCCTAATTGTGATCGTGCACTAATTAAACCGAAATATATCGTCAAAACTGAAGGGAATGCATCAGCAGTAGCGTCATCATCATAAGCAATAACATTAGGTGGGAACACTGATGCTTCAATGCCGTAAACCAAATTCATTTGTTTGAATAAAACCTTATGATGGGAAGAACGAAAAATGCAGAAGGACGGGAAACTTGGGCTAGCTTACAAAACAGTCTGAGGTGCATGCAACTCCAATACTGTAATCGTTTTTAAGAGCAACTCAGCCCAAAGATGCTGAATACTTCGTTTCAAAAATCATTTTCGAAGTAGTTCACAATCTTGAGAAATTTTTCGACGGTTAGCTGAATTGGATTGTTGCTTAAGAACGAGCTTCCTCAGGAGTGACCAAAAATACCCTTTAATAAACCAGTTCGTAATCTGCATCTCAAAACATTGCGGTTGTTTGGTGGAAGACAGAGTTTGCCCCAAATAATGTGTAAGTCGAACTACTTTTCAATTCATGTAAGCTGATTACCTTGTGGAAACCATACAGAGTTCTGCGCATACGCGTAAAACAGTGAATGACACCGAAGTTCATTACAGAACCACGGAGAATCTGGTGACATTTTCCCATGCAATAAACACTTTGAGCAGTTTCACTCCTGGCTATAGATCTGATCAGCGAATTTCTCACAACCTGAGTAAGCTATATCCCAAGTTTAGGATCTCTGCGTTGATAACCTCGGCTCACTGGGCTTGTTTCAAGGCATTTTATGTAGCATGTCATAGAGTCATAAGCAGCTCCTCTAAGGAAAGTTGAGAAAGCACACGTTTTCAATCTTCCGCAGTTTTTCTGCAGTCACTTTAGTGGGATTCCTAGTAACATGTCAATAAACCGAAAACAAAAGGTCCAGAGGCGGACAGCCGAGTTGACGAATGTGTGACCCCTGTAGTGCATCCAGAGTTTTTCTTGTTCTGTCGAACAGTGATAAAAGACAGGTGCATCGAATGAGGAGGTTGGAAGGTTGGAAGCTCTGTGATAATACTTATCCGAGTGTCCGTTGACCATATAAGCCTTTTAACAAGAATAGTGTCACGACTTACCTACACAAATATCTGTTACGTGAGGACCGTCAGTATACATATGGGTCTAAGTAGAACGTAAGGTTGACGGGGACTGCGCCCACCTGATGAGTCCCGAGAATGGCGAAACCAGTCGTGGGCTGTCGGAGGGTTTTCAGCAACCTCATCAATCGCTATACTTTTGCCTGATGGTTTCAGGTTGATTTACATCCTTTAGTCCTGTAATCGAAATATTCTCCTAAGCCTATCCGTGCACACAGAAATCTGATCAGCCCTGTCAGTAAAACAAGCGATCCAACCATCCGCCAATGTTTGTGCAAGTGTTTTGTTTACTGAAATTAACCTGATCGCCCCTCGTGAGGGCAAGTGCAATGAATGAGGTTATCAATTACCCCTGGCACGTCAGTCTTGCCTACTCACGCTAGGCAGCAGGAACGATCGACTAACATTCAGCATTGCTTTCTATTGCTGGTCGAGACCGATGTTGTTTGTCAACGAATTCTTCTTAAAAAAGGACGCTTACCACCTTCTCATACAGCTCGATATAGCTCTGTGTTTAAGGTGCGAACTTACTAGCCGGAAGGTCCGTGGTTTGAAGCCAACCACTGCATCCCGACTGCTCCTGTCTAGCCTTGGACAACCTGGCAGTATCCCAGCCCTCGTGCCTCCTTCTGTGTATCTTGACAGCTAGGTATCAAAAGGATGCTACAACTGAACGACTTTTCCCACACAGTAATGTTAAAATGGACTGATGCTCTCCTATGCCAATATCTCCTAATTACGACACCAGACGCAGGTGAAGAAATGGATAGGTGTGCCAATACGGAAGGGATTTTGTGGGCTAAGTTATCTATCACATTTAGGAGGCTTTACACACTGTGCTACCTTTGGATTTTCACATAGAATGCGTATCACCGAATGGCTCTGGGTATCTGCTGAGGTAAAAGAGAGAAACTAGCAGCCATCTGGAGCTTACTTCTCTGGCCACAAAACTAGGAATAACTCGGTCTACCTGAGAGTTCAAGCCAGACAACCTCGAGAGACAAATGTTTGTGCAGCCCATTTCATCCATCAGTTCACTCACCGTTCAGGTAACATACACTGTCAGCTGGAAATGAGACAAAATCTTCAGCTTTCACTGAACAACGCAGCATGCTTATGTTGCAAGTTTGCTTGTCAGTTCACTTCATGCTACCGATTACAGAACAGTTTCAATCACCCAAGCTCATGTAAAAATCGTTCAGCTGTGGTATCCTTTCGGTGCCTAACTGCCATGCTACCCGAAGGTTGCACGAGGGCTGGGATACTGTCAGGTTGCCCAAGCCTAGACAGGAGAAGTCGAGAGGCAGACGTCGGGCTCGAACCACGGACCTTCCGGTAACCACTTGGGCCGTCTCGTCCCATGTAAGTTGAACCAAGTCTCTGCTGTTCACAACCGGTGACAAGTTCTCCACAGTTCGTACCACATCTGAAGAGTTGAATCAATCTGTTATTCTTTACGAATACTGAGACCCGTTATTTCGTTAGTAACAAATGTATGCACTCCGTCGTGCCCAGTAAGTGGCGCGGAGATTATTCCATCATTTCAACAAACGCTGTTCTGCATATCATCATCGTTTTTTTCTTCCCAAAATAGACGCTCGCGCGACAACAGCTTCCTCAGCAGTGGAAGGACACTATGGTAATATGGGAGATTACGATTGACTTATTTGACATCAACCAACAATCAGAACGCACACCAAAATTGGAGTACTTCCGTGTTTCCAATAAATTTAAGAAACCCTTCCCAAAGTTGCTACCCTTACGGGTTTAAACTACTGGTCCAGTGTGCATTAACCTTCGTTTTAGTTGAAGCTACACATCAAATACCTAATGCTTGAATTTGCCTACCCGACTGAACTTCGTACCGTTTCGTCCTGTGGGTCTTCCCGATCACTTAAAGGAGACAAGTGCGTGCATCCGTTAGCTTATCAACCACATGCTTGACCGGAAAAGGAGTAAAGAACAGAGTCATTTGGAATTCTTACAGGGTAAATTGTGCGTGCACCCGTTAGCTTTTCAATCACATGCTTGACCGGAGAAGGAGTCATTTGGAATTCTTACAGGGTAAATTTATAACAAAAGGGCTCGCCACGGCAACCAAGAACTGAACACTCAGCACAACAAACGTTCTGATGAATAGCACCCCTCCTATTCATTGAGGAAACAAATTTGAGGAGTATAATTGATGAGCGAACCAGCTCGGATTCATTCTCCCGTTAGCATCAACTTAATTCGTAAATGAGTTAGTGTCTCAGGCCAAAATCAATAGTCACCAGCACGTGGTCGGCAGCAACTATCGTTTCTTTAGCTGGTGCAAACATCTGATTGAAATTCTTTGATATAACGGTGATGGTGAAAGACTACCACCGTTTGTAATTGGGAAAAGGGACAATCGGCGTCCTGTGGGATAGCTAGAACTCTACTGAAAACTGGCAATAGATTCACTGTCAAGTTCCCGCAATCAGAAACAACCACAGGCAACATGCAGTTCGAACGCCTCTAGAGGGTGTCACTCAAAAAGAAGGCACCGCATACAAGTACTATCCTCAGCGCCAATCTGTCAGTGCGCTCTCACAATGGCCTGGACAGCCAAACAAACCTTCCACGTGACCATAAGGATCAACCATAAAATCAGTCTTCTGAGAGGCTCCTCTCTGCACTTCATTTAACCGGTTTTGAATGATTGGTGAACATAGTGCCGAGGAATGACTCTGCACCGCTGCCTGAAGCAATTATAGTGAGGGTTTGCGTCCTATGAGGGCGGAAAAGACCGGCAGTTCTTCCCCCTTGATGTACCCCGATGGTACCCATACCAGTACGGGCGAAATACTTTGATCATGTGAATGCGTGACATTGAGAGTGGGTCATCCAAGGAAGCCCACGTTAATTCGAGAAAACAAAAAGACCACCAGCGACTTTAGGATGTTTTGCGGTACGCCTACCGTAGCAGTCTCTTCATCTAATTTCACCCCAAACCATGATGGAGAAAAATAGTGTGAGCCTTCCACTAGGCTCCTGCAGCTTATCAATGCCTGATTACTTTTGTTCTCCTTAGGTTTTTTTTTACAAACACACAACTCAGTTCCGCTCAATTATTCAGCTACCAACTGTGTACCAAGGCGCAGCGATTCTCCCTACTGCAGCTTTGTTAGCCGAGGATACGGGAACCAAGAGAATGAAAACCACGCGTTGGAAACGATGACCCAATCAGTTCATTCACATCAAGTGGTTCTGTTTGTCCGATACGGTAGGAATTGTGAGCTACGCATGAAGGCGACAGCTTCGATCCAAGACTGCCATAGACTGTGTGACCCAGATATACCCGTCAGGGTGACCAACCATTAGTTTGCCTCGTCCCGCGGTTCCCGTCCAAGGAGGTGACAGTTGCCAATGCGGCCGAGTTGACTGGTAAGGACTTTCATGCTTCGTTGCCGAGTGGCCGCTTTTCTGTCGTCCCTGCGAGGCTGTGTAAACTGTCCCCTGGCATACAAAGCCAGCATAGCCTGTGGAGAACGACCAGCTGATTTGGCGAGAAAGAATGAAACTTCACAAAAACATCTAGAGTGCCTCATAATTACCGATCCAATGGTCCGATGCAGTTCATCAGAGGCTTCGGATGGTCAACCCCAGGGGAACTTCGAACCGTTCACCGAAATCAGATCTAAAACTAGACGTTCTGACATAAACTCACGAGGTTCCGGTTTTTAAAAATTCAAAATACCGTATGGTTATTACGCATTTATGGGCATTTCGCGTTCTAAGTGCAGAAAAAGAGAAGGCCGGTCACAAATAACGTCCGACATACAAGCACGTACATCCGGACTGGGACTCGTGACAAGTGAAAGAAGCGTGGCAGTAAGTAGCAGCAGTAGAAACTATGAAAGAAGGCGTATGAGATCGTGTTTCCACAATGCATTTGAAGATCAAGAACTTTGTGGTATCCAAGTTCAGGCTGCAGTCCGCTTGATCACACTGGACAACTTGGCAATGCTCTCCTGTGTTTTGGTATAAGGGTGCGTCGGATGACTCCGCTGATAAAGTTCCAGCAGATTGCGATACACCGTTTCTTCAAAGGCTGCACCCTGTTCCATCAGGCGATTGACCACCGTCTGTACGGATATGCAAGAATTGTATGTTAGCATGACTGACAGCGTTCACCAACAAGGATGTAATAATAATGGTAGGAAAACTGCGTGTTGGAACTGAACTCGAAAATTTCATAGTATCGTTCAGCTGTAGTACCCTTTCGGTGCCTAACTGTTATGCTACCCGAAGGTTGCACGAGGGCTGGGATATTGTCAGGTCGTCCGAACCTAAACAGGGGAAGTCGAGAGGCAGAGGCCGGGTTCGAACCACGGACCTTCTGGTCAGTAAATTCGCGCTCTAACCACTTGGGCCATCTCGCCCCAATAACTGCCACTAAACAAAGTGTGGTGTTTCTTGTCTGGTTAGACAGTTAAACCAGGCTAAGAAGCGAGCTATAACGGGCTTCAAACCCATGTTACAGTCGGGCACTTTCAAGTTGGCCGTACCCTCAAAATTTGGAATTTTCTCCACCAACTTCAGCCGGATCACCTCATATCTCATTTTGTCTGAACCATCTTTCACTGATTTGTTCTCAGGGTCACGACATTCACCGTCAGTATTATGTATTTCCTTTATTTGTTTGTCTATTTCATCCCCCTAATGCGCGGGAGTTCAGTTACACTGTCAGAAGAAAAAAACGTTTCTCTATATGGTTAGGGGAGACAAGAAATACCATACTGGTTAGATCGTTGTACTCAGGCGTAAGTACCCAGAAAGAGTGAAACTCATTTGGGTGATTTCGAATAACACCTGCTTGCTGCCTAAAAATAGCTCACTTTTCTCCCGAAAGCAATAGAGAAATGATGGAATTGTAGGGTTACAATCAGCTCTGTACACATGTAGTACAAAGCTATGGTTTACTTCGTGTCGATCGTCCTCTCAGTTTTCGTACCAGTGTCGTGTAAAGTCAGTGAACGAAGTCGGGTGTAGTTCCACATATATCCGACAGAACTACTCTACTCGGTTGCTTAAATCTGAAAGCAGTTGCCAATCGATTGTCCTCACAGACATTAAGACTACACCTAATAACCCAGTTTCAGAACTGTATGAATGTGTTGAATCCGTTTCAACCACCAGTATTTGGATCGATCGGTTTGTGTCCACCATGACCGCTTTTATCCGACCTCTTTGGGCTTAACTAATATCCTTTCATTTTGTCCTACGCCTGAAAATTTCAAATGAACTGTGGGCTTGTAAACGACTTCAATTTCTTCAGTGAATGTGGTTCCTTTAATCACTATTTTAGGCGTGTCCGAGAAGAACTAAAGGTTAAGTATATGGAAAGATTAACACAGACTGAAAAGGTGGATTTCACCAGTTGACGCAATTCAACTGAGGAACATGGTTTGAGGCATCGACTTTTTGTCATTCCCAAAGCTCCTGAGTTTTTGGTGGATATTTCAAATTTCGCCCCCATCTATGTTCTCCCATTGAAAACACCCACACCAGCGCTAACGGGTTCCCTTCTCCACTAACTGAGCAACTACGGAGTGGAAAAAAGTAAGCCTTCGCAGGAAATCGAAATAGCAACAGAACGTCCGAATAGGATATATATATATATAACGCAGCAACGGAATTTAGAAAAAGCTTATGGCGCCGTTGTTGCTAAAAACGTGTGTTGACATTCTGCACGAAGTAATATACGTTCTTCCCACTGCTCACCTGTCCGACTGTTGGCGAGGCCGGTGCCGAAAAAAGCTTGGCCAATGGTTTAAACCCCTATTCTGCTCTGGCTATTTCAAAGAGCTAAAGGTACGCTGTTGGATGCAAGATGGCTCAGTAGTTAGAGCACGAATTTACTGGCCGGAAGGTCCGTGGTTCGAGTCCGACATCTGCATCTCGACTTTTCCTGTATAGGCCTGAACAACTTGGCATTATCCTAGCCCTTGTGTTTCCTTCAGGTGGCATGGCAGCTGGGCACCCAATGAGCTTTTGTTTATTTTACTCTGTTGGACTAAGACTCGGACCAGTTTCAATACCGTCAGTTTCGCTCCATGGTAGGCGCTATTAAAGCATTTAAAGCGCGAATCTACTGATCGGATGGTCCGCGGTTCGAACCGTGGCTTTTCTATTGTTTGTGTTCAGGCTTGGGTGACCTGGCAGTATCTCAAACCTCGTGCTTCTTTCACCACAGAACGAGTATATCGTTACTGCTATTGTTGCCATTAGATGCTATTGCACACCCATTTTACCCCGTCACTCGTGCTTTGGACATAAATGCGATACTGTATGTTTATACTAATACTGTATGTATGAGGCTTTAGGTAGCGTGGATAGAGAACGGCTATCACGAGATCTTACTGACATGCGTGGTGAGAGGAGACTGGTCGATAAAAGCAAAGATTACTTCACATACCAAATGTGGCTTGCGGCCACTTCACTTTCTTGCTACAAACTATCAGCGGTGTGTCCCAGGGTGCTACTTTTTTGGTTAACTTGGCCCCCGGCCCTAACTTCCTCATCCAGTGTGAGTACCTGGATGATGTGGCGACTGGCTGTAGCTATCGTGTGCCTACAGGTAAAAACTATAAAACATGAAACTGTTAGCTTGCCTCGATGTACTTTCAACTCCGGTCAACGTCACAATGACCGGATTCGTGGCCATCAACCTCCACGGTTTTCACTGCTACTCACCTCGAAAGTCATACATTGAGGCATCAAGATATGATCCTCTCCCAATTTCAGGTGTCTGAAGTAGAGTTTGGTGTCTAAACATTTAGGCTATGAAGCTGAGAACCCTCTCTGTTCCCCCTCGGTTTGTAACCGTCTGTATTCTGCATCACTTGGTGTTCCCATGTTCCCATCCTTAAACTCAGTGCCCTATCGTCAGGTTGCTGAAATCGCCTTGGATACAAGGAAGTCTCAAGGAATGTCTTCAGTGACGAAGTACTGAGCAAGCGATTTTCAAACCTCACGCATTTCACGACGTAATACTAATGTTTTTCGTCCTATTCATCAGCTACACATTAAAGCCAAGTCTACAAGGGCCATTCGTTCCATATGGCTCGTCTTCTACGGCCCCATGGCCCTGTGTAACAAACTTGCATCCCAGTTGCTTGTACAAAGCGTCTAACGATGGAAATTCCAATAGATTTTTTTCAGACTTATTCAGGATTGTTTTATCGTTTAAGTTGAAACTGCTGTAAACCGGCACGTTGAAAATTGTCACCAGGCTACATGAAACTTTGCCTTAGTCATTGAAGCGCTCCCACCATTCTACGCGCCACATTCGTTAGTCAAGTACTCATGTACACACGGGGTCACATGGTGAAAGCGGAGTTAGGAACGAGGGTTCTCCACACGTGTATACCACTTTATAGTTGTGTTGTAGTGAGTATATACAGGAGTTTCTTCCTATTTTTCTCACTGCCCACATTTTCAGAAAAAAGTTGTTCCCACTGAGGAGCACCGGAAACCATGCACTTGAGGAAGAAATCTAGAGAGCTGGTGGCACGACGATAACTCACCTCAGGTGTCAGATGGAACAGTTCGAACAGCTGTTTGACGCGGATCAAATCGGACTCGTGTGTCTCGGTTAGACTAGCCAGAGCCTGTTGAAGTCGGTACACATTGCGGCACCTGAAATTCGAAAAAAAATTTTTGAGGCGGCAGAATGTAGGCTAGTTTGGAAATCTGAAACATCAGTAAGTACTTCCGGAAACTTGAACACAAAACCAACATTATATATATATATATATATATATATATATATATATCGTGCCCAGCTCAACTTAAATCTTGCTCATATACTGCTCAATAAACTTTTATAAGTTCTCTGGATGCCTGAAACTCTGTCAGCGATGATAAAAGATTGCTGCGGAAAAAACTACCATTCAGTAGGGAATAACGAGCTCGCGCAGCGAATAGGCTGCGAGCTGTGGAAAGCATGGTTTGAATTCCACCCTGGCTTTTCGGTCAAACAAAAAACCGTCCAGCTGTAACACCCTTCCGAAGCGTAGCTGTCATGCCACCCGGAGGAAGCATGAGGGCTGGGATACTGTCAGGTTGCACAAGCTTAGACAGGGGAAGTCGAGTGGCAGAGGTCGGGTTCGAACCACGGACCTTCCGGTCAGTAAGTTCGCGCTTTAACCACTTGGGCCATCTCGCCCCCTTCGATTAAACAAGCCTAGGTTAGGATCGATCAGCACTCGTCCCCATCCGGTTGGCATGAAAAATCGCTGAAAACTTGACTTCGTCGATTTGGCCAAATAAGCAGTTCGCGTAGTGCAGTTCCGTCAAACATAGTACTAAAATAGATGGAAATTATAGCACCACGTAGTTGTAGGCCATATTGTTCTTCACTGTACGTTTATCATTATTCATACCGATGACCGAAGACACAGAGTCCTGGCTAAAAGCGACCAAAGGAGCAATCTACTGACAATGCACACAGTACTGCAGTAATATGATAGGTCTGGCTAGACCGGCTGAAGCGTCAGGGGTAACGGTAGTAAAACCAAACATCCGTCGACACATGCTGCTCTGAGTTAGAAATCAACAACATGTGGAAACCAAGCCACGCGACAACAGGTTTGATGCGTTTGCACAAACTTTCAGCTACTGAAACCAAGTCGGATTTTAAAGTGTTCTGTCCGTGCTTGGGCTATTTTCATCTATCGACTGGGAGTGCGAGAGATATTCATGATCAATCAGGTTTGAAACTTAGCATCGAGTACCCAACCAATGGGATGTAAAGCGTAAGGCAAGCGATTATATGGGTTTGCAGGTTCCCACGCGGATGGTTAGTTTATTGATGGAAACCCTTCAGCAGCGCACCACCACCAGTTACACCTCAATTAAAAATGAGCGTATTTCGCGTAATTTTATGTTCATTCGGAACACAAGGATGGTGGAAACTCGGGGACTAACCCCACGCGGCGAGTTTAAAAGACTGATACAAGAATGTCGAAGAGTTTTCAACAGCCTCATGAATAGTGTATGTCAAGAGGACATTTATTCTTGTGTGTTGGCTATACATGAAAGCAATAGTCCAAGCTGCTTCCACTTTATAACTGTGTCGTCAAACAACATAAACGCCTCTTCTGAATCACCCATTGTGTTGTTGTAACATTCAAACAAATGTCACAAGCCTGAATACGATCCGCTCACCGGTCGAATCGAGAACTTCGTGTGTTTGTACCATGATACAACGACGATTGACTCAAATAACCCCGGTACATCACTTGTGTTACCCACACACGAAATCAGCTGACTATTCTCTCTTTGTAACTGGGTGTGTTATTCATGTAACCGCTTGTTGTGGTAGTGTTTCGGAACTACGGTAGCTTGTACATGTATTTACTGGTTAGTGACTTGTTTCTGGGGTCAGTGGGGTCAGTTGTGATTTGGCAAACCATTTCGAACGTGCAAACCTTTTGTGACTTTACGATAACCGAGTTAGAAAGGTGAGTTCAGGTGATCGGCCGCAAAACCTGTTATATCTACTGATTCGCCGACCTGTGGTATCTGCTGCTAACCCGCTCTAGTGTCTGGTGCCGGAGAAAAAGACTCAGAAGGGAACACAACCTTTATATTCCGAACAAGCGAGTGCGAGAGCAAAAGTTGCAACGGCCCCACGCTATTTTAAAAAGGGGACCTTCTAACATTGATCCAGGCTGTCTGATAGGCGTTAGTGAATACCCGTCAACACCGATCGTGCCTCTATGAAATGCCCGAACGCATATCACATTCGGTCGTGCTTCTGTGGCGTGTATGAGGACTCATTGACGTGTATGAGGACTCGTTGGCTTTTGCTGAATTGACTGAATGATTGACTGGCCTGGATGCTTGCCGGCTTTCCTGTTGGGATTTTGGTGGAGCAGTAGGTTTCGGGCGTTCTGAGGTTATATTCAGGGATCTGGCCTTCCTGATAAAACCTCTTTGGATTTATCTACTGTTGTTATGCCAGAAAAATTTTCTTAAATGTAGTTATTGTAGCATGTTTTCCGGTCCTTCCTTCCAAAGTAAGGTGGTCTCTATCTCAGAAGACCGAGTGAATTTATTCATTGTCTGGAGCCGGAATGCGGATGTTTGGTTCACCTGTGGCACTGTCGTATTATCTACGTCATCTATTCTGTGACGCCTCATTAGGGCCACTCGATTTGATCGACTTTTTCGCTCCGGTTCGACATGCAACAATCAAAACTTTAACGAACGCAGAGCGAGCGCCCACCGAAGTTAACGGCTTCGGTCTGGACCACCAAAAACAAATTTTCGTGCTGACGTGCGAAATCTTATCAAGGTCACTTTAATGGTCCACTGCTCTAGCGTACAAAGATGGCATCGACATGTAAGATGCTCTCAGTACCAATTAGTGATGCTCCAAAGCAATGAACGAAGCGTTCCAGAGTAAATTAGCACTCAATGATGAGTTACGTCCTGAATAGAAGCGAAACGACAGTTCACTTGCACTGGCCGCAAAATGACACGTGTGGTTGATGGATTGATACGACGTTTTTGCCCACAGAAACGTCGGGATATGTCGCAGTTTCAATGCTAACAGATGTGTCCGATATAAGTTTGGCGAGCGGTTTCTTCGTTTCGGAAACCGTTTCAGGGGGAAATCGATTTGTCAATGCAAAAAGAGAGAAATTGCTCAGGACCAGATGAGTAGGTCAGATATGCCAGTGTCCTACATTTGATTTTGGGGGCGGGGAAAGAGAGCTCCTCGGTTGAATGGGAAACACGTGAGGCTGAGTCAAGTGGATGGTGGACCACAATAAGAATGGAAGGAAGTGGTGGCTTACACTGCTATTGGTGCTGAATCAGAAGACAATATGGAGGGTCTGTAATCCGAGATGTCGCCTCTGTGGGGGATGAAACTCCTGGATTTGACGTTTGGTCTATGTTTGAATCGTACATCAAAACCATCTTGTTTCACTCTTCTGAGGACAGTAAAATGACATATCACGACTCATAGCGTCCAATTGACGAGATCGATGAGTCACTCCAAGAAAAGCTTATTGCTCAATTGTATCGAAAACATAACGAATTGAAAGCGTCTGAAATGTGTGATGTACTATGACAAGGTATGTGGTTGGTCGGAACCATTTCTCGGAAACCGCTGGTGCACTTAACAAAGTAACCGCTGGGGCACCGGAAAACCCTAGAACTCAAGTTCCTTAGAGGTGCAGGGAGGTGCGGAAAGGATTTCGCTGATCGAAAATAAAACTAACATCCTGAGATATGCCATCTCTCGCTTAGCTTTGACGGCCATCTGAGGCGTACCCTTCAAACACTCAATATGGTGTGTTAAGATCCACGTCAGAATCTAACCGAAGTTTGGCAGATAATTGCAACGGATAAAGGACGCTGAAAAATTAGAATTACTACTCTGAACTAGAACACAGGAAGTCACGGAAAATTGGCAGGTTTCACATGGGATAATTACGAGTTTCACCTTGTCAACACACGGATATTCACATAGACACATGCACGGAGACGGGCATACTCTGTCGACCCAGGAATTTTGGCAATTGTCTATTTCGAATTCGATCACTGGTCAACAATGATTGAGCCATAATATGGACTGCGTAGCGGTGCTGGTTCGCGCATGATGTCCTTCGCTCAGCTGTAACACCTTTCCGGTGCCTAACTGCCATGCTACCCGAAGGAAGCACGAGGGCTGGGATACTGTCAGGTTGCACAAGCTTGGACAGGGGAAGTCGAGAGGTAGAGGTCGGGTTCGAACCAAGGACCTTCCGGTCAGTAAATTCGCGCTCTAACCACTTGCGCCATCTCATTCCTTCGCGGATGATAAATATTGTCGTATTACACCACTGTTCTGGGAGCTGAAGTGTGGGATCCAAGCCATCGGTAGTGTACGCATTGCACACGAAAACTCATTCTATGCTGCCAGACTAACCTGTTCGTTTTTGTGTCTATTTTCCTGTCATCTATCCTTCGGTTAGCTTCACATTGCTGGTGCAAAGCGCCAGGGCTGAACTATCAACTCCCAAGGCTGAAAAAAAACCCGCACACTTATGAAGGACATTCTTAGGAGCATTTCACGGCATTTAACTTAGGACTTTTCACACTTTAATCAACAGTACCATAATGCTGTCGCGAACAGACACAAAGAACCTCCGGGACTCACATTTTTCTGTTCCCATTCCTATTCATCCGAGGAATCGTTGGAACCAACCGGAGCAGTAGCTGCGAGATAAAATCTCCAAGACCGTCGAAAATAAAACTGCATCGAGTACAAGGGGGGTAGGGCAAAGGAGGAAAAAATCGATTGACGCACACAGACAAAGAAACAAAGGACATTGGAAAAATAACATTTTGCATACTTTGGAATCGATTTTGACAGCTTCCTGGGTAAACAAGAGGTGACGGATGATGGGGTGGTGATAACGATGCAGATAAACAATTTTGAAGGGCGAAGAACAGAATATTGAATGAAGGTGTGGAACGATCCTGACAGGGTTGAAAGTGACGGTGTTCATAGGCACCGCATTGAACCGTGCAACATCGTACGTGGTGGCAAATCCACGCAAAGGCAGAATACGGTTGCTTTCATCCAGCCTTGAAGCGAAAAACTTGCGACGGTGTAGTTTTATATTCTCGAAACTTTCTCCGTATAAAACTAGCGTCCAATTGTCTGAAAGTAGACGGCTGGCAAGTAAAATTGGTACTCTAACTTACTGATACGGCCTACAACATGTATTCGTCTTCAGGAATATCATACTGGGACATTCGCCTTCACCCGCCATTAAGAATAATCTCGAGAAGAAAGACCTGCAAAATCTCTATTTTCAGTCTGGAAAAATGCCCCTCTCCTATGGTGAAGCGGGCTTGAGCTGAACGATGCTAATAACTGTCCCCTCCGGAGTCTCATACACGCTCCATGAGACTTTCGGTGTTACAGAGCAAATACTGGGTCTGCAACGAGGCAACCAAGAGGCTGTTATCGATTTATTAAGACTGCCTCTCAGGTTGGTCGGCTTAAGTATGAGTAGACACGCATGGGGAGTCGTCTGTATGGAACAAATGCAGCTACTTAGTCTGGATACGAAATGCATCAACTACACATGGGTTTGAGATGTAGGCAATGCGCGCATAAATGCTTCCATTGGTGCATGGATTTTATGCAGACAAAAGTTTGTCACAGACGAAACAATCAAGCGGATGAACAATACTGATGCTGGTAAAAAAAAAAACGGAATAACTGAGACCGTGACATCGATTTCAAAGGATGGTTCACCTCCCTGTACGCCTAACTGCGTTCCTGGGGAGCCAGTGCTTCGAATTCCCCTTAGTTAACACTTCAGGTATTCACCATAGCACCATATGCTCGCGCATAGTGTTGCACGATTGTGTTCGTTCTGTGCGTAAGGCTGCCCATACGCGCTCATCCGTCTATCAGTGACCCAGACAATCTCAAAGAACCAATAAAATCCACGTGAAGGTTCTGGTTTAGCGCCCACTGTCTACACGTTTGATTACAAAATAAAAAGTGCGAGGAAAGCCCTTGGTGTTCTGGGACAGACACTCACGTCCCCTTGACCCATAAAATGGGGTCATCTTTTGTGCAAGGTGAAGATGTTCCTAGTCTTCACAGATTTACTCAAGGTGGCCGTAATTCCAGTATCGCAGAAGGAGGTAGTTTCCTATAAATAAATGAATGGAATAATCACCTGAACAAAATGACAGTCAAGCAGATATCCAGATGAATGCACTCATACAAGTCCTGAAAAGCTACAGCTGATAAAAAGGCTGATACACGACGTAGGATAGGCATTCCCGGGCAGAGTTTTCTTTAGGAAGACAGATGAAAAGATTGGTATGACAGTGGAACACGATAACTTTGTCTGAGTGGTCACAAAAACAGAAGCGAATGTGAGTTTGTGGTACAGACACAGCCGACACAAATTAGAATGAACATTCGCCCTGACAGTGGGGAAAGGAATGTCCCAATGATGAGAAATAGGTTTGAAACTGTTACTAAGGGAGACGGGAGTAATGAGTCAATTGACATTTCTCTGGAGAAGGTCCACCAAGACTGATCGGAACTCCATTCCCAAAATGACAGCATAGTTTAGGACGAGGTAAATTTGAAATCTACGGAGCACACAATGCTGGGGAGCAAAACACCTGTCGGTGCGGTGGAGGAAACTTGGAAATATTCGGCAATCAGCTTAAACTGACTGAACTAAAAGAGGGTATCTGCGACTTCTAGACCCAAAAGAGCACGAGGTTTATTAAAGATGGGGAGATCCGTAGAAACTCGGTGAAGATGAAGAAAATATGGAGGAATTTCGAATAAAATAAATGAAGCGGCCTTTGCCGACGTGCAAATTTCACTGCTTGTCTGTATGCCATTGTTCGGATGTTAACGAAAGACAGTGCCGGAAGGGATTTCAGAAGTCCAAAATTGTGAGATATCCGGCACTATGTCTGGACTAGCAAGGGTGGTCACTCAGTAGGGTAGTTTCCTTAGATCATGCGGCAATTGTTCATCCTAAAGAGTCCGGAGTTTGGACAAAATAAATAATTTAAGCGGAGCATTGACTGTAAAGACTTCAGTGGGCCTCATACTCAAGAACATAAGAGAATGGACTAGCTTCAAGGAAGAGAACGAGGCCATAGGACGGGATATGAGCCAACATTTATGAAAAAGGAGATACTATCAAGACCAATCAATTCAATTTGTCGGCTATAAACCGTGTGACATGGGCACATTGGTTCCAGCTGCTACAGTTTCGACCACCGGAAAACGGGAAAGTGGGACAGGCCTTCGAGGCGAAGGCATGTTCAGTTTGTTGGGAAACTGGGTAGCTACGCATTGAAGGCGATAGCTTTGATGCACGAGCACCACCGACCTGCGCGATTGGCTATTTCCGCCAACGTCATTAACCACTGATTTGAGTGATTTGAGTCCCGGCGTCCTCCACCCAACTAAGTTTACTGCTTAGTGTTTTCGTACTTTGTTTCTAAGTCATACACTGTCCACCACTCGGTCTCTTCCAGTCAGCACAGGGCTGGGAGAAAAGAGCTCTGTGAGGCAGACGGTCTTGCAATGCGGATGTTGTGTATCCGAATGAATGAGACTTTGGAATGCTATGAAGCATAAACGGGGATACAGGCTGAAGTCCTGAGCACAATGAACAAAGGAGATATCAGTTTTCTCGGGAAACGGATACAAAGATACAATGAGTGTTGGAAATGGGAAGGTATAGAGGGGTTCAAAACTTGCGGAAGACTCCAGAAGGAACAGCTATTGATGGGTGCTCGAACCAATCAGTCGATGACGAGTCATGAAAGAGATGATATTCGTAGTCAGTGAAATAGTGTCTCAAGTAAACGCGATGGAAAGACACAGTAGGGTGGTGAGGTGCTAGCAAGTTGCGGTTTGAGGATCGTATGAGCGGGAGGGGCCGAAATAGACAGTAAAGAGCTTGGGGTTGACAATGAGGAAGAGACCCACAGTTTATGGGATACTGCCGTCCAGCTGAGTGGCGAATAAGAAAATTCACAAGTCCGGAAAAGCACCGTATCTCAAAGCTAGCTTGCTCAGCGGCACCTGAGCACGGAAGCCCCTCAAGGTTACGAGGGCTGAGGCTGCTAAGCGCGGACAACTCAGTAGTGGAATTGGGAGGATGAACCTGTTGAGGATGAGTAGTCACCACCGTCAGTTTCACATCGGAAAAAATAGTTACTTTCGGCTGAACATAATAAACGCAGAACATCCAACTTGCAGCTAATGATGTATGGATGCAAGTGCCACTCTTCAGGTGGTAAGAAATAAACTGGGAACTGGAGATAGTTAAATCGCAGTCCGCGGAGATTAGCCCCAGTTTGACAGAAGCGATATTCAGTGTAACGAACCACGTGGCACTGTTCTGGTTTGTGAGTGAAGTGAGCACTGAGCTAGACAGAAGAAATTAAATCGACAGAAAAGGAAGCAGTAAAACAAAACAGCAGATGATTTACCGGAACTTGTGTCGACTGAATGTGTGCATCAGCAGATCCTGCACACGCTCCAGATAGACAAGGAAGTCGGTGACATACTTGTCCGCATCAACATCATCCACCGGACACGAGTAGTTGACGTTCTCCGGCAGCCCTCCAAAATGATTGTACGCCTGAATACGCACTTCCAAGTAGACCATGAGCAGGCAGGCATCAGCAACCCGGGTGAGTTCTCTGGAGCATGCGGCAAAAGGAGTGTCTAGAAACGTTGTCACAGGAATTTTGGATGATTCCCCGTCTGAAGAGCCTTCCGTAAGGTGATGTTGTTGAACCATACGTCGTCGAAGATGTCGGAGCCACGTGTCCAAACCGAGAACGCGGTGAGCAAGCCAACACTAAAAATAGCGGAAAAGTTATCGGATCCATCGCTGATGTAACAATCACACGCAGCATACCGGAGCTCGTCGAAAACAGCAATGCACCTACGGTCAATGACGGTAGGCACCAAGGATTGTCTGTTTTGCTCGCATCCCATGAGCAAAATTTTTGTTCCATTAGGGAGGACAGAGTGTCGAGTAGAATGCAGTTATGTCAACTGATGCCAGAGGAAATCAAAGTAGGCATTTCCATCTAGTGGATGACTCACCCTGCAACGAACACTCAAATAGGACCATGTGAAACCATACGAGCTTGTTAATTCTCCCAGATACGACCAAATCCCGGTAGAGGTTATAATGGAGAGCCCGGGCTACACGTGAAACGACACCATGCTTTCGCTAGATTGCCTAATACATTCATCATACTAGGGCCACGAACGTCATATCACCTCCCCCCATACTAGAGCCACCACCTTCTAAGCCCTCAGATTAAGCATGGAACCGAGTAACTTTCTTGGAATATAACTCAAGATGGAAACAAATAACAGATGGGTCACGTGACCAACATCAGAATTGTTTCTAGTTTTAAGCCTTCCTCACTCGCTGTTTAGTGTCACCGGACAAAATATGAGGATAAAGGGGCAAGTCCGAAAACGTCCGACTACAGGGGAAGAAAGTAGACGTACTAAAAAAGCAAGTCGGTTATTGTAGCAAGCCGGATTTGTAAGAAACCTATTGGGATGCTCATGGAAGTTGTTGACCTCATCAGGTTCGATGGCAAAAAAGTGTCGTCAACATAAAGCTGAAAACTACTCCGCGGAAAACCCTACCAACCAAGTCCATTTGTTCGAAAATCTCCGTATAAATATTAAGTAACACTTCACATGAAGTTTACCATGGAAAGAGAGTCCAACTCGGGGACGCTACTCTTCCTGGACTGTAAGACGCGAAACAGTAAAGGGAAACTCAAAACCACCATCTACCAGAAACTGGCCGCCACATAGAACGTATTAAACTACGCCTCGGTGGTGTATACATAGATTGTCTAATCAATGTTTGGTCGACTCTGAGCGCTGTTCACAGAGATTGACCAAACGGCTGCTCGAGTAAAAGTTACAAAAAGACTTCAGGGAGACGGATTAGGCGGTAATTAAGAAGGGTACTGGCTCCGGTATCAGAACTCAGTGACATGGCAGTCAATTCATACAAAGCACGTGCATTAGAGGTTATTCGAAGAGTGGTGAACACGGCCAGCATGCGATTAGCATCCCAGAATGGAAGGGTTGCGCTCAGTATTGGATACCCTTCCGATTGAAATGACAAGAGACCGTGTGCATAAAGTGTAACGCCCGCACTAAGAAAATGACCAAGGAACTACACACCAGAATTGGTGAGTATAAGAAAAGGATGGACAAGCTACCAAAGAATACGGATGAATACCAGACACTGGTCAAAGACTCAGCGATGGCGAAAAATGGGCTAGACACAGACGTGCACTAGATCTGGAAAACCTCAAGTTTTGGCACGGAGACTGCAGTTCACACCAAAGCGGCTGATCAGCGAGACGTTAGAAATCGCCAAGCATCCCAGTGTGAACAGGCTGCGTAGAGCTGGCGAGTATATAGAGGGCAGTCTTGAATAAGCAGAGTTGACAGGTGATTTTGTTGGTAATTGATCAGGTGGCTGTTGATCTGTTCGCCGAGCTTGGCAATTGATTTGCGAATCAATTGCCAAGCTCGGCGAACAGATCAACAGCCACCTGATCAATTACCAACCAATACACCCGAGCTACCAATATTCCAAAACATTACCAACAACTTCGGGCGTTCCACGCTCAAAACAGCTCGTCGATGGGAGACTTTCGCCTGCCGACAAGCCTCCACGCGACAACAGCTACGTTTTCTCCACGAGTGCTTGCGAAGTCACATTCTACCACGTAGCGTAACCTATAGACCTCCGATCAATCACCCCCAGGCCTGGGCGCTAGCAAGAAGCAACGGTAGACGGATGGTTAGACTCATGATAACGGATGCACATAACCGCATTAGGAAGTATGCGCGGATCGCCACAGAAGAAAGGGACACGTGTTTGAGAACGATAGGACCAGCTCTACTACAAGAACTCAGTATAGCCATCGAACGAAGAGTTATGTCCGCTGCGGAAAAGAAGCGAATTATTCTAGAAACCAAGTTTTCAAGACTGATCAGAAACAACAAAAATGGTACCATCACCACCAACAACGAGACGTGGATCAAGAACCTCTCTAGCAAACGACTGACTGCTCAAGAACAGGATGTTCTTGTTAAAGGACTAAACTTCAATTTCAAAGATGCCACCAATCTAGAGTTCTTGGCCAGCCTAGAGGCAGCTATGAAATCCGCCGAACTGGATGAGAATGCTCAACAACAACTCCGTCAAACTGTGGTACCGGCCATCACACGAAACAAAACTCTCAACCTTCTCTCAAACAAGGAAAGGGAAGCATTAGAAAATTTGAAGAAAGATGAAACCATCATCATTCTACCTGCGGACAAAGGACGGATGACCGTTATCATGGACAAATCGGACTACGTAGACAAAGCAAAAGCTCTGCTCAACGACACTACCACGTATCGCCGTCTGGAGGATGATCAAACTAAAAAACTTGCGAACAAAATCAACAAGAGCCTGAAGCGACTGAAGGACCTCCAAAAGATCACAACCGAAGAATATTGGCGAATGAGAGCCAGAGAATCCAATACCCCACGCTTCTACGGACTCCCGAAAGTACACAAGGAGACCACACCACTAAGGCCAATTGTGTCACTCCCAGGCACACCAACCTACAACCTTGCAAAGGAACTATGGAGAAAGGTCAAGTATCTCATCAATGAATCGCAACACTCAATCAAAAACGCACAACAGTTCTTGGATAAACTAAAGAATGTGACAATAGAAGAGGACGAAACAATGGTCTCATTTGATGTCAGCTCACTGTTCACATCAGTGGACCTTCACTCGGCAAAGACAACAGTCGCTGAACTACTGGACAGTCATGGACCTCCCAGTGGACCTCTAAGGAAGGAAGACATATGTGAATTGCTCAGCCTCTGTTTGACCACGTACTTCGAATTCAACGGTGAATACTACGAACAATTGAAAGGAGCACCAATGGGTTCCCCAATTTCAGGGTTCATCGCCGAGATCGCAATGCAAAAACTGGAGAGGACCGTGTTGCCGGACATCAACCCGAAGCTTTGGGTACGTTATGTAGACGACACTTTTGTCATCATCAAGAAGAGAGAACTACAACGAGCAATCCAATTGATAAACAGTGTCTCCGATGACATCAAGTTCACGATGGAAGAAGAAAACAACAACAAGCTGGCGGTTTTAGATGTCCTCGTCACAAGGTTGCCGAACGGACAAATGCAAACGGAAGTCTACAGAAAAGCTACGCACACGGATCAAATTCTGAGCTACCACAGCAACCACCCAAACTGCCACAAAGAGAGCTGCATCCGGACACTATTCAAGCGAATTGAAACACACTGCAACACAGTAGAATCTAAAGTAAAAGAAGAGAAACGCCTATACAGAATGTTTCAAAGGAACGGTTACCCAAGGAATTTCGTCTGGAGATCTCTGAGAAAATGCAATTCAACCAACGCGACAACCAGAAACACAAGCAAAACAATCACATTACCATATATCAAAAACATTTCGGAGATGACCGCCAGGATATTACAACAGCATGCCATAAAAGTGGCCCACAGACCGACTGACACGCTGCGAAGAGTACTATCAAAACCAAAGGGGACACTTAATGCAATGGAAAAGACAAATGTAATCTACAAAATTCAATGCAATGATTGTGAAAAACACTACGTGGGACAAACAGGGAGGAAACTGTCAACCAGAATCACCGAACATAAGCTCGCCACCAAGAGACATGACCAACTCTCTCTCATCTCTGCACACGAAGATGGGGAAGGACACCATTTCGATTGGAATAACGTCAGAATACTGGGCCAAGCAAGAACAAAGAAAGAACGCGAGTTCATGGAGGCGTGGTACTCCACTGGTGGAGCAATAAACAGGCACATTGAGATTGATCCTGCCTACCAGCCTCTGAGGACAAAGGAAATCCAGAACCACAGAACCCGAGGCCGGACAAGGACTCAAAGAAGAAATCAATAGAACAGCAGGCTACTAAAAATAGGAGGCACGCCACAAACCAACAGAGAAGCCGACCACGACGCAATACAGATCAAGAACGGGCCAATCAGAATCCAGGTTACAGCGCAAAGGCTGCTCTTTGTAGACTATATAAACGCAGGCACGAAGAGAGGAACTACCCAACCAACAGCGCACTGAAGATGTCTCCTCGAATGGTGACGAAACGTTTGCAAATCAATTGCCAAGCTCGGCGAACAGATCAACAGCCACCTGATCAATTACCAACCAATACACCTGAGCTACCAATATTCCAAAACATTACCAGGTGATTTTGTCAATGAACCTGGACTCATTAGCAAAACTGTTAGAAAACCCAACCAGAACAAAGTTCACATAGTCCTTCTTCCTTACACAACTGCCATAGCGCCAGCTAAACAAAAATGGACGAAAATTGTACACGATCCTCAAGAGGGATCTCCACGTGAAGTGAACCGGAAGAACTAGATTCATTGAAATCCACGTAACTCCGCCCATCGGTCTTAGCACTTGCCGACACACCCTAACGAACAAAACCCATAAGCCGAAACTCCACACTGATGTAACCTGATGCTAGAAAGAGATCCAACTGATTAACTTTCATTCTGCTTTAAATTTCGATCAACACGAAGTTTTCATGTAAGAAGCAAAACCTCGCCCAGTAATAAATCCACCGATTGTTTTTAAGCTTTCTCAAACATAAACGTTTTACTTCCGTCATTTGGAAACCCAACATTCCACATTTTGTAGATGGAGGGTACTTAGCAAGAAAGTTTGAGCATTTGCTAGGCGGAATTCTGCACCGACACCGCTTTATGGCTGGCAGTCAGGCGCTGCTACAGCCAAGAACCACATCACACACGCCACTGGCTAGAAGATCGGGCCGCCTGCCAGTCCAGCATCAAGGGGAGCCCTGATTGACCGGAAGTCTGGCCAATCATGATCCAGTATCCACCGAATGTCGTTTGTCAATGCCAGATCCAGAAGCCGTCGGAATTTCCAGAATGTTTTCGCCGCATACACTTTATAGATGACGCGTCAACCTGGTTTTGGGTGTTATAACACGTTTTGCAACTTTGCTGGTTGATTTGACGGGAACGCTAGCTTGAAAGGTTCGGAGCGAGAACTAAGCTGCGGAATTGCTGTCATTACACCATCGAACGCTGCTCAAACCTTGACTTCATAACAACTCTACGGGCGACTAAGTGGCAACCTAAAACGAGTGTTCGCTCGGAGGTTTTGTGAATGAACATCTTTATCCAGGAATGGGGGCTTGTAACATAACCGCTCGATTGGACGTTGACTCCACTCAACAGTTTCCCGCCACAATACGCATCATAGAAGTGTTAAAACCATCCAAGGTTGGTACGGACTCGAACTTTCCAAAAGCACGACCACAAGTTGCAGCTTGACTGATTAGTTTTAAGAAATCCAACCAAATTGGTACTAGTTAGGATAGTTATTCAGGATGAAGCGGTCTACAACAGTTTATAAGCAAAGACCTTTCAAGCGCACCTGTTGTGTCCATCTTCCATAGTCTTTCTACGGTGTCCGGAATCAACAGACGGGTTGAGTAAGGCACAAATAACGAGCACTGCTTCGCCGGGAAATCGCAACAAACAAGACATACCAGTGACTCGCTGAGACGACCGAGAATCTTGAGTATTTGAATGTTTCGGACGACGGGCAATTGGTATACACCTTTGTGTTGCGTCGGCTGTTGACTCTCAGGTATTTCATCTTTAATCATGTGAAGCAACTGTTTGGTTTCCTTGGCTGCTAACCGAGTGGCTTCACGTTCGTGTAGAAGACCAGGCAAATGCTGTTGAGAAAAAATGAAACCAGTTAACCAGAATGAAATCGGCTAAAAACAACGATTTTTTGACAAATTAGACGGAATTATATGATAACGACGTTTCCTCATACACACACCGAAAATGGGAACAGTCACGAGTGCATACCACGTTATGAGTATACTCATGCGGTTGTCGAAAGCTTTATTGGTAAACAGCAATTTCATACGTGAAAAATGTAAACAGAGTGAATTTCTTGAAAGTGGCTAATACATATACCCCGATTGGGTAAGACGGTATCAGTACAAACATGGCCTAGTTTCGCCAAAGCGCGAACGAGTTCCCGCGCTGATTTTGAGCTACAAATCCCCTTTTATCGTTTTCACATCCCACATCGAGCTACTTCAACACAATTTGTTGTAGCAGCTGGAAAAGAAATTAATTGACGGTGTGACTGGCAGTCTGGTGGATGGAGCCCCGGTCGGCCCATCCATTTGTATGCATTGTAGTTCAGGATCACGGCTGATAGGATACTATCATCCCGCTGGTCCACTCTCGGAGGTTTTGCAGTGACATCCTGGCTCTTCGGATTCAACTTACCAATTGCTGGGGATGATCAATACGGGTAGAACAGCTTCGGTTGATGATAATTCCATGTCTACTGCAATAAAGTGTCTGACTTCATTTTATCAATACTACGGTCAAGTGTCATTTCGGTAAACGCCAGATAAGTGGTTGAGTGAAGTGTGAACTAATCGATACAATGTGGTGCATAACGTGGCTTGGATGAGCCGGACGAACAAAAACTAATCAATCCGCGTCAGGGGAACTACTGTTGGGGGAAAAAGCATAAACAGTTGTTCTTGGGATGAAATAGCCGAAAAATCTGTGCGGCTGGCCAGACAACTGACTCGGTCGATGTGAGATTAACCATTGATCGACACAGAGTGAATGTATCTGCTTGTCTATCACAAAGGAAAGCTCTTAGAGTGGCTAAACCTCAAGTGGAAGGAAAAATTTTCAAAACTGAGGCAGTTATTTTCTGGAGACGCCATGTTTCTTTTCAATCAGGTGCCGTCGAAGGGTAATTCAGAAGGGGAGCTGAGTGGTAAACTTTTAAGGCTGTCAAAAGAGAAAAACCCATAAAATCTGCTCCACTCTCCAGCGGGTGAGGGGCTGGTAGACCAAGCGTAGATGATACAACGTTCAACCAGTGTGTGGCAATAGAAATCTTATTGTTTTACCATGTATCGAATAAAACTATTTTCGAAGTTATATATCAATCGATCTGACGCGATTCTAGCAAACTTAAGAAATCTGAACGAGGGGACTCATCGGTATGGTTGTGAAAACTGGGATTGAGAAATGAAATTCCAATCCTCCGAGGTTCGATGAATATTCTGTCTTCACGCACAGCAACTGCGATTCTTTCATGTGATCGATCTACGCAACCATGTAGAGTGATTACCCAAGGGACGAACCGAATTTGCTCTAGCATTCATCAAATTCTATCCAGAACGGAACTAGGTTTCTTTACTGCGAATAAGTGCAAGAAAGTCAACCTACCGATATGCTCACGGTTGCTTGCATGAACGCACCCGAGGATTTATTTCGATCAGTCATGTCTGAATTCGTTAAAACAAATCAAGCTTCATACTGTGAATTTAGCGCTATGTGAGGGTCCATCTAGCGCCATCTGGTTAGTGTTCAGTGTTGTACTGAACAGTGTTTAGTTACTCGTATGAGTGATGATTAAGGCTCACTAAATAGGAAGAAGGTTGAACTGCAGGTGCTCGCTCCAAAAATGATAATCACAGCTGTAATACCCTTTCAGTGTCGTCCGAAGGAAGCACAAAGGCTGTTACCACCAGGTCGCCCAAACTTAGACAGGAACAGTCGAGATGCAGGAGTTGGGTTTGAACCATGATCTTTCGACCAATAAGTTCGCGCCTCAACCACTTAGATATCTAGAGCTCGAAGCAACAAATCAACTTATTCAATACAAATATCCAAATGATTGTAATCAAAGTTTGATATGGATTCACCAGTTTCTTTCTAAAAACACGTAGCTTGTCAAAGCACAGTTCGGTTCAAGTTGAAACTGACTGCCAAGCAGTATCGGGCTAACGCGATCTGGTAAAACAAGTTCAGTTAAAGGTAACCTCGGTGAAACCCAGCGAAAGTCATGAAATGGTCTTCATGCTCTCCAGAGGATATCTATCCTGTTGGGACAACGTAGGTGACTCAAACGATCCTTTACAAGCACTACATGTATATGTTGAATAGCGATCGATGATCGTCCCATGGGTCTAAAGACCCATACCGAAGGAAGGACGTTCGTCGTGACGACCTCTCTCCGTAAGGACCGCCAAAGTTAGAACGAGATTGACTGGTAAAACTGGAAAAATATGCAACTCGGGACCTGACAGCATCTCAGCTCTCGCATCTGTTTCGAGTTAAACGGAGCCTTTATAGGTGAACAATTATTCTCCTTTACGTCGAGGTCGTATCATCCACTGCAACGGTGCGGCTTTTCATCATAGGTCGGATAGTTATCCCGCCACACATACTGCTTCCAACTGGCAACCCGCTCCGAATTCGTGCTAGTCAATGGAGCTACCTGAGGGAAAGTTTCGGTCAGGCAAACATTCTGTCTACCTCAGTATACGTCCTGATGTGATGTCATCATACTGATAATCTTGTCAACTGACTTGTTAGCGAACTGTACCGTTTAACGAGCTAGGGCCGATGGGAGTTGGCCGGTAGAAAAGCAAGAGGAGGCAACGTATGGGTCAAGACAACAGCAGTATAGGTCATACAAAGGACAAAAAAGAAGCTATTGAAGAATCGCTCAGTTGTACAACCGGAAGAGCACATTAACATTTCAAAGTTGCGAAAATTACCGTAAAACCAGAAGTGTTATTCTTCGCGTCCTCCGTTTCTGATGGTCCGCTGCGCCTCTCCATAGCGAATGGAATGACGAGACGTGTATTTAGCTGTGATTCAGCACAGCCCGCACTTCCATCATACTCGTTAGCTAGTCCCAGCGTGACAATGGTGGCTGGCGAGATGCGTCTTGCAGCGTCATTGTCCCCAGTGTCGGATTTCTCACTTCGCTGACCCGAATCGACCATACCACCCAGAAGAGCCCAGCCATCTCGTTGGGAGGTCAGCAAGGTCGTGTTCGCCACAATACGGGCCTCGTGTGCAGCCATGCGAAGCCAAACGGGAAATTTCCTATGGGAAAATCGACGGGACATAGGGACGGGTAAACAATTCTCAGGTAATGTCGACCCATCATCTCCAGTATCGAGTTCACCAAACTCAAAAAATGACCAATAGTGGAAGGAAATAACCAAGCGACCTAATCGGATTGAGGCATCATTTTCCCACTCACACTCGGCCTAGTTTTAGACGGCGGTCGTAGCCTAGTTTTTGTCATACGTCCTACCATCCTGGCCAATCGATTCGCCGACCGCCTAGTAAATCGGCATTATGAAATAAAAACCGACAGGAGGAATAACGCACCTCGGCTCCATCCATAACAAAACTCGATAGCAAGATCAAGGGACGCTTCGGACTACTTATCTGCCACACGTTTTGTCGTTTCAGCTCTTTCCACTTTGAGACCCTCTCAGAAGTAGTTTAGGGCCACAGCACTACTTTTATCTCATTTGTTCTTCAACTGCTGCTCGAGTTATCCTGGTCTACACAAAACAGTTCCGTGAGTAAGGAAATCGAGGGCTGAGATACTGCCAGGTTGCCGGAGCCTAGGCAGGAGAAGTAGATAGGCAGAGTTCGGGTTCGAACCAAGGTCAGTAAATTCGCTCGCGC